ATCACCTCGGTGGTATTCACTTAATTTGGACACCCATGGGCAAAACATGAATCAGCGCCTTTGTCAATGAGGGTAAACATTGTACAATGCAATTGAGTTCAACAGCAAAAACTACATCATCCAAAATGAACATTATTATTTTTTTATTCCTTTTAATTCTGTTTATGTTAGTACATGAATGTATAATAATGTATGTATATATGGATAGTTATAGATATACACACTTTGTTTAGCTGCAACTGTATTGGTACTTACCTTATTGTTTATGTATGTGCTGTATAAAGGAAAAAGCAAAAAGGTTAATAATTGTGTCAAGATGTTTAAAAAACTGGAAATGTATCATTATCATGTATTGACACAATAAAATATATAAAAATAACATAAAGCTTAATCAACACCTCTCAAAAACAGTTTCAACATGGAGGTATGTTTTATTGCTGTATGACTGCTGTATTAGACTGCATTAGTTTTAGGTGGGTGTACCTAATAAATTGGCCACTAAAAGCAGCTGGCCTCAGCAAGAGAAAAACACTTTCATTGAAATGAATTAGCCATATCCTTTAGAATACCTCATCTGAAGTTTGATGTATACAAGGTGCTAATCTATTAATGCATACAGTGCAGCTTTAAAACAGCAATGCTTGTGTAAACTAAATAAGATCATATTATTGTATTGGAATCAAATACAGTTAATAATTAGATCAACATTTTACAAATCAGGAAAATTAGACTCCAGTTTTCAAATCTATTTGATGTTAAATGTTAATCACATAACATTTTGGGGAAGTACATAAACTGGCTTTATCAAGATGAGAAGATTGATACCAGTCGGTACAGTAAATATGCAGCTATTGCCAGCAGGGGTTTTATCTTAGCTTAGCATTAAGACTGGAAGTCAGCCAGGCTCCAAATTTAAACCTAAATGTAAAGACAAGGGTTGGTGGTTTATCTGTTGGACTGCTAAATGTCTGGGAGCATTGGGTTCCCGCACTCTTGCTGTCACTGTGAGGTTCCCAGTACACCATCTTCTCATTTAACTCCTGGCATGAATGTGAATAACTGTACTTCCCAAAGAGTGTCGAACTATTCCTTTAATAATTGACTATAAGTGATACAGTCAAAAGGCAAAAGGGGAAAGAGAGGGGTGATGCAGTTACATGGCATTTATCTTAGACCCTGGGTCACTGAGACGGCTAGTACGCTATGCATTTTTTAAATGTGGGCGCACACACACATATGAGTGCATATTTTATTTGGAAATGTCTTTTTACACATTTTCAATGTTAAAGTCCAAACATGTAACAACAATATGCCCTGCATTGAAATGTCTTTCTTCCTACTGTGTTTGAAGCTCTATGGACGTGCTTAAGTTCTCTTTAATTGTGTATATATATATATCAAGATTATTTACATGACAAGAAATTATTTTTTTTTACAAATACATGAAAATGAATATGTTATGATCAACAATTGCTTGTAAAGGAAAATAAATTATCGTGTACTTGTATCGTGTACTTGTAAGTGTTAGTAAAGATCTTTGGTAAGTGATAACATCTCACATCAGAGGTGAAACACAACACAAGAAGAAGAAAAAATGAGGAATAAGAGTTAAATATTGTATAAAGTTGTATAGTGTGTTAGGTTTTCAGATGAGGTCTCTCACCTTTCATCACGGCTATAAAGATAACTAGTAAGTTTGAGGAACTATGAGGTTAATACAAGGCGGAGGGGTGAAGTGGCTTGTCACCCACTTCTTACATATATCTGCCTGTGTATCCTGACATACTGCAGGCACCAGCTCTCTACTTATAGAGTCTGCAACCAAGCCAAAAGAGACACATCTGGGATTTTCAGGTCTATACAAGTATGCAATGCTGTTGTGTATCCAGATGTTCTTCTCTGCATTGAATACTGCAGATTTTCTTGAATGCCTTTATCGTGTAATAACAGCGTATCTCTGTGTTTTTGTGCAGTGATCATAGTTTGTTTCCTGCTGATGAAGTATTTAATTCATCCTTTTTAGCTGTGTAATATACAGAGATGCTTTGGTCAACTTCAGTACCATCACACCTCCCTTTTAGAAGACTAGAAAGTACAGTACCAATGACCATTTACCATTTTAATAGAATAAGAATTAAACAAGGAAGTAAGTCATTTATTTTCTACATTAACCCTTAGATGCATGAGTGACTGGACCCTACACTCTTCCATAAGTGGGTCAAAAATTACCCGTATTAGAATCAATGGGTTTTTATGCCATTTTTGTCATTTTAGTTAAGAATAATCATTTGTATTATACTTTGTATTATATTTTGGTCCACACAAAAATGATTACACGTGTGAAATATTTTCATTTTTCACTTTTTCAAAATTTTTTACATTTTGAAAACATTTTGAAAATTGGAAAAGAATCAACATTACAAAATTACACAACAGCAATAGACCAATGTCAATATCCATTTTGTGTGTGTGTGTGTGCACGCGTGTGCGGGCATGTGTGTGTGTGTGTGTGTGTGTGTGTGTATTTCAGGTTCACGCACAGACACGTAACATAGAGTAATGTTAGTTAGCTTGGTTAGATAGCTAGTTTCGCAAACAATAAAAGAGACATATTTGATGATAGATGATAAGAAACACATACTCTTTCACACAGTAGTCATGAATGACACGCACACACATTTCTGAGGTAAAAAAAGAAGACAATACTTACCTGTATCAGATCTTGCTGTGTAAAATAATCTTCTTAAGGGGTGACACTTATGATATAGTCTGTGTGGTCCACAAAATACATATTCCTGACAGTCACAGTTGATAAGAATCAAAGATTCCCATGAAATCCCATAAGAAATGAATGCGGGTCATTTTTGACCCACTTATGGAGGCTTGGGGTAGTAATACAAAAACTACAATTTCGAAAAATGTATAAAAGGTAAGTTAAAAATTTAAAGGGCATTTTATCAATAACATGTTTTTTGAGCTATACCTGGAATATGAAACGATAACAACTTTTCATTGGTAAATGGTAAATGGACCTGTACTTGTATAGCGCCTTTCTAGTCTTCCGACCACTCAAAGCGCTTTTACACTATGTGCCCTTTCACACACATTCACTCAGTGATGGCAAAGTCCATCAAACAGAAACTAACATTCATACACATTCACACACTAATGCCCCGCATCAGGAGCAATTTGGGGTTCAGTATCTTGCTCAAGGATACTTCGACATGTGGCACCAGGAGCTGGGGATCGATCCCACAACATTCCGATTAAGGAACAACCTGCTCTGCCTCTGAGCCACAGCCACCATTACAAAGATATTGCAAGAAAACGACCTCACCGGTTCATTTTAGACCCACTTATGCATTTGAGGGTTAAAAAAACCTTATCAGATGAAATTCGGTTCAATAAAATATAGAAAAAACACTAAAAACCTCAAATGCAATGAAATAACAAATATAATTAAGAAAAAACTGTAATGCAAAGGAGTAATAACTTGTATGTAATGCAGTGCTGTGTGTAAATATACAAACTGCACCTGGTGTCCCAAGAGCCAACAGCTCCCCTCAATGGTCAAGCTGTAATTGATATCCATAACTAACAGGTGAGAAGATGAAATAAAGTGGCCTTGAACAGAATGGAACAGAATAAAATACAATACAATCTGTGATGTGAAAAATAATTTTGAATTTGTTTTATTGTTATTACTTTTATTACATTTTCTGCTGTATTTATGTGTACAAACAGTGAATTTTTTTTTTTTAACCTTGAGCTGAGGTAATATTCTGAGTGATTATCACTGATTATTTGTTTTGTACATTTGTTTAAGCAACCCTGTCATTTGACTTGTATTTGAAGTTCCTGGCAGCTTTTATACATTGTTAGAAGTACAATATGTGGTTGTGGCTATAGGGGCGTCTCTCACATCAGAGAAACAACAAAAGAAAAAGACTAATGTTGTGAAATAGCGTGGGATCAGTTGAGTGGTTGTCTTCATCTTCATTGTTGTCATTACAGTCAGTTAGGATTCCTGCATTGTTAATTGATCATGGGGTTTTTACTGGAAGCCAAATTATCCACAAAAGTCTCCGACCGATGACTAAAATCCTTCATCTATTTGCATCTAAAAAGTGTATCGTAAATATGTGAACTTCTGACAGACACCCACAACACTTACAAAAGGAACATGACAGTCAGTCCATTGACAGTCAACTAGTGTAATCCACCTTTACCTGAATAAAATTATAGATTTCTCTGGGTTTGAACACTGTTGGAAACATTTAATCACAGATCAGCAAAAATATAAAATAGGTCTCGTGTTTATAGACATTTTAATGTGAAAATGTTACATATTATATCTTTAAATTGAAACAATTATAAGTCAGTCTTAGTGAGTGATGTAAAAAAAAAGGATACGATGTGACAGACGGACAGTTTTTAAAGGTGCTGTACGAAAACAAGCAAAAACGTATTAAAATTAACCTGGACTCCAGAGGGTTAGTAAGTCTGCAAAGGAGGTTTCCTTTAAGACCCTGTCCATCAAGACACATTCATCCCTGACAACAGACAGAACAAAGCCGTGTGGCTCTCTTATCCTCAACCATGCTCTCATATTAACTCTTAAATTTACAGGGTGACTGGGTGCAGCACAGATGTGAAGAGAGCAAACTTTTTTTTGGATTCAAAGTTCTAAATTTAGCCCTACATCCTTTCCCCTCCCTCCCAAAGCCTATCAGTCAGCCGAGGTGTTGGAGGAAAGGATGGTTGAAATAGACTTAACTGGGGGTGGGCTGGGGGCAGAGTTGCTGCTGGAATGGAATGAACTTTGATGAGGAGTACAAGGGGGTGGTTGTTGTTTTTTGGGCATTGCATTGGACCTGGAAAAAAAAAAGTGGCAGGAGTGGTGGGATGGTTCATGAAAGGAGGGGGCGCACCACTATTAAAGGCATTGGGGGTTGAGATAGACAGCAGACTGTTTAGGAACAGTGATTCACGCTGTGGAGGATAGAGGAGACCATTCAGGATGCCAGAGCCAGTCAAAAAAGCAGGTAAGTGCGCTCATTCAGCTGCTTTTGACAATTGACGTTGTAACATTTCCTTAAAACATGGAACTGTACATTGTCATTACAGTAGATTGTCTAAAAACCTAAACTTTTTGATGTTAGCATAAGTCATTTGTTAAACCATGTATGTGAAAAAGCTGACTGTACATATGCCCTATGCACACTCATTATTGTGTAGGCATGCAATGTAAGATCTTGTGGTATATTTTACTTCCTTTGTGCAATATTCTCCTTGAACAGAAACTTTAACATTTAACCAAATGTGTGAGAACATACTCTTAAGCAACTATAAACCACAACCATACTGCTTACTAGAAACCCGTACTTGCATTCAGTGATACACTGTTTGACATCATAATTGCTTAAAAAAAATGTAAGTTTGTATCATGTTTTTGGTTTAATTATGCAACGTCAGCAGTTCTTTGCCATTTTGTCACAATTAAAAGCAAATATTTTATATAAAATGTATGCAACAATGGTATAAAACTGTCGTAAATGTACAGGTTAATTATTTCCAGAAAATAACATCTGTAAAAAAAAAAGATAAATTATCATTTTTATAACAAAATAAAATAATAAGTAAGAATGCTATATACATGTATAACATTTACAATGTTATACATGTATATAACAAATGTAATATAAAAGGTGAAAAATGTTATAAATACCAATGTATTGTAAATATTAACTATGAATGAAGTGAATTGAGACAAAAATAAAACTGGGTGGTGGGTCTGCAGATAGTAGTAGCTTAAAATAAAGTCAGTGCAGTCCGGTAAAGTAACTACCTCTGCTCCCAACATATATAAATAAAATATATTCCATGGCTTAATAAGGCGGCACAAGTTGATGGGTAATGTGACGTGCCGATACTCAAGTAGCCAGTAGCCAAAAATCACAACATACTACGTGCTATTATCCATCCTTAGTTCAAAGTGTTTCCAGTGGTGTGACAGTTAGTCTAATCCCTTTTGGCTATGTCAGGATGTCAGTTAGGCGTCACACGGTCCAGGTGGAAAACATCGTCTGACGTGAAATCGACACTGTCGCATTTCCAGCATCACTGCATTCACAAAGTACACCACTGATCCAAAAATGCCCTGTGGGATTTCATCTGGACAAATTACTTTCCACTGTTTTATTTTGTCCTCCATTCGGTGGGAATGGATTGTTGTTTGCGGAGTGAGAAGCCTGACACAGCGCGTATCAGATGTCCCAGTGCAACCCAAATGGCCAGCCTGTGTGCGCCAAGACAGTTAGTGTCATTTGTTGAGGATAATAACAGTTATGATCATCTTAAGCTTGTAGCATTACTATTAATTAATATCAGTACGCTGCAATTAACAGGATGTTTTTTAGAGTTTTTGAGTGTTTCAATAAACACGGTCGCTTTGTCAACTTGCTAGTTAATAAAAATATGTATATTAAAGGGTCTTTAATCGATATTTTTATGTTAACAATGTATCAAATGACAATATGAAAACTATGTGACAATGTGAAAGGGTCCCTTGATGAAACCACAGAGAATTATCACTTGAATCTGCAGTTCCCCCTCGGCTCTACAGAGCTTCAGGGTGATTTTCAGCTCATCGTTTGTCCGGCCCTCAACTTAACTGCTGGATGTGTGAATAAACAGCTGCTCGCTAAGAAGTTCATAAAGAGGATGATATGTCCATGTTGTGTTCAGACCCTGTTTCCGCTGCCAGATGGCCAAAAAAAAAAATCAGTTGGGGTTTAAGCAGATAAAAGATAAATTGTAATAAAAGGTGCTTTCAGGTGTGCATTATACAAACAATAGGGACCTACTAAGGAAAGTACCCTATAGTGCTAATAATGGTCACAGGGCATCTTTAAAACAAGCAACTAACTAAAATTCTCCAATAAGAAATGATTATATTCAAATGAAAAATGTGTGCATAAATCAAATTAAATAGTAGAAAAAAAAACCATTACATATGAGAAAGTCTAAAACTCCACCTAACAAACAAAAAAAATAATATGAACAGTAATTTTTTAATACAAATTGATGAAGAATTTATGTTTTCATCAATTAGAGAACATCTGTTCTGTCTGCCATGTTTATTTTATGGCTATAATAAACTTTACCAAAACAAACCTTTACAAATGCTAATTTCTATGTTCTTAAATTAACCTTACATTACCATGTAGATTATTTGTATTGTTTACCACCATGTCGTTACTACCAACAATTCATGCATTTTATATAATAACTCATATCAGGAGAGTCATTTTACTTTAAGAGTGATCAAGGTGTATAGATAAAGCAGCATGAATGACTGACAACTTGACATGAGATTGTCGTAACAGAACGCCGGCTGCAGACAGACAGAGGACACATCAATCTTTCTGTGCCTCCAGAGTCACAAAAATAGAGTCAACTTAATCCCCCAACTATGATACCTGGGTCCCTGTTGCAGCTGAAGCCTGCCAGTCTCATTTATTCGGCCAGTACATATGTATCCTATATTTAAACCCATAAGGTCATCTTGTAACACATGTAAGTTTTTGGTTCTGTGTGTTTTTTTAATGCTACGCTGAACCTGGAAACCTGGAAACCTGGAAATAATGTGAATTACGCCTACATACATTTCATGATTGCAAACACCTGGTGTTACTGTGAAACACATGTCTACTCTCAGGGCTATCAGTTGCAATCCCTATTTTTAGGTTCCTTTTTTAAAGATGACAAGTGTTTGAGAATCACATTGCTGTACACATTTTATAACTTTTCCAACAAATAAAAAAAAAGACCCCACACAGCAACAAAGACAACAGCTGGCGTTTTTCACAATGAGTGTAAAACTTACTATAAATAGTTTTTGGACAGATGGCAGACATCATGTATTGATTTCCCCCCACATTTAGGATTACTACCCATGCCTGTTACTGAGCTATGGTGTGCTGATGTTCAGTTTGTTATAGATGTTCCAGATGTATCTTTTACCATATTTGGTTTGGCTTTAGGCTGATGCATTCATTTTTATCAGACACTACAATCAAAAATGATATGTTTTTATTGAATTAATGAGATTAAATGGACTTTAATTTGACACCAGATTAACAGGACAGGAGTGACGGATATAATGTGTACTGCAGATTTTCTTATCTTTTTTGTACTTCACTCCATTTATCTGACAGCTGTAGTTAATAGTTAGTTCACAGAATAATATTTAACATACATATTCAACATATGATCAGGTTGTGAGGTATAAACTGTTAATGATTACAACTGCCCTGTAATATATAAATTACTTTAGTTCCACACCAGTTCATATTTGCATGTACAATAATAATATAATATTAAAATAGAAAGACAGTGTTTTTGTACTCTTTTGATACTTAAAGTTCATTTAGCTGCTACTTCTCTACTTACTGAAGTAAAAGTAAAGTAAGTGTTTTACTTTATTTTTACATTGTGGTATTACTAAATTTAGTTATGTGAATACATAATCCACGGCTGTTCTCAAGTATCTCAATAGCCTTTTAACACAATTACAATTTGAATGGGTTCCAGAGGCCACATTATCATCACAAGGACAGTATTGTTGAGTTGCCATTCAAATTTAGTTTTTCATGACTCTAATAAATTGGTGTTTATGTTGAATAACCCTCTGTGTTTCCAGTGCTTTTAACTTCTGTTCTTTTGAACGAGGCCATCTATTAACTCATGTAATGTTTATATTTACTCATCTGTCATCACTCCCAGTATTCTTTTGTAAACACAAAAACAATGCAAAGACAATACCAAGACAACACAAATATGACTCGTTACAAAGCCAGATGTTCATGCTTTCACATTCTGCGTTGAGTGAAAAAAAAAAAAGGCAAATTCACTGGTTTTCAGTTAGCCCCACCCAGTGTGCTGGAGACTGTACAACACTGTATTTTTTCAACATGAGTAGCTCCACTCAGGGCATGAGCTTTCTACCTCTTCTTCTTTTGCTGAAATATGAATTGCCCCACCCCACTTCCTCTCTCTCTCTCTCTCTCTCTCTCTCTCTCTCTCTCTCTCTCCTTTTTTATCTTTCTATTTTTCTGCAAGTTGTGACAGTATATGTGTTGTTCTTTCTTCCAAGATTAGGTTTCAATAAAACAAAGACAACACAAACAGTATTTTGGGTCTGTTTATTTCATTCAACAAAACCTGTTATTAGTTTTTGTCACAATGTAACATCAGTGGCCACTCATCCAGACCATTATAGTACCTGTGTTTCCTCCTCTTGGCAATTTTATTATACCCGACACCCTCGAATTTACACTCCAAAAAACTTACTTTTTATTATGAACTCACCCTCCCTCTTCAGTTTCAGCATTTTCCAAGAAACCAAAGACTCAGGAGGCTGAAGAGGGGTCCTCTGTGGTATTTGAAGCAGAGACAGAGAAGCCTGATGCTAAAGTAAAATGGCAGTGCAACTCAAAGGACATTGCCAGTGGCAACAAATACGCGATCACAGCTGACGGAAACAAGCACTCCCTCGCTATAAAAGCTATTACCAAGGAAGATGCCAATGTCTATGCAGTGATTGCTGGGGGGTCAAAGGTCAAGTTTGAGCTGAAGGTCACATCAAAGCCAGGTGGGAGACTTTGATGCTGCAGCTGTACATTTGAGGTCTCTGCTTGCTCACCTGAAGGCTGTGTAGTCGACACAGAGCACAAAGCATAATGGAGCACTCAATGCAAAAAAAACACTGAGGCTGTAAATACTTGATGCACTTGCATGCACTTGATGTTTCTGCACATGGACTCACATTCTGCACCGTCTGACAGCTGCTCACAAACACGTCTCTGAAACAGGTTTGTGTGGCCTGTCTTTAAAAATGGAATAGTTTGACTTTATGGGAAATACGCCTATTAGCTTTCTTGCAGAGAGTTAGATGAGAAGATCAATACCACTCTTATTGTCGCCCCTTAAATGTAAAGGTGAGCCACCCTTTAAAGGTCACTAATTAACACCTTATATCTCGAATCAAGCTCGTCACTTTGACCAGAAGAGACTCTAGAAAGCCACTGTCAGGAAATAGTCCAATACATAATCTGTGGATGTATTAAAGCTCCAGTTTGACATATTTAGGAAGATCTATTGGCATAAATTGGATATAACATTCATAGGTGTGTTCTCATAAGTGTATAATCACCTGAATATAAGAATAAGAGAAGAATAAGATTACCTTTTTTTTTATCTACAGAGGGAGCGGCTCCTCTTCTATGGAAACGACCATGTTAAACTGCCATGTTTCTACAGTAGCCCAAACCAAACACTGGCTCTAGATAGGACCTTCTGTGCTTTTCAAGATTTTTGCGGCATCCATAGTTTCTCCTTCGCACTTGGTTGAGTGAAGGGGTTTCAGTTGGTTGCACTCTGTCATCTCACCACTAGATGCCACTAAATCCTACACACAGGTCACAACTGGATACAGGTGCTTATGGCTTTTTTCATTCAAAGGAATGGGTGCCACAATCGAGTCTTGTATACAGTTTTTAATAATATATCCATGACAACCAGGACTTGACATTTTACACTAAACAAACAAGATATAACAAGTTAATTTAATACTCAGTTTCCTCATGCTTCCAGTCTTTATGCTTCATATTTACTGTACAGACATGAAAGTGGTATCAATCTTTTCTTTTGACTGTCAGAAAAAGAGTGAATTAGCCTATTCTCCAAAATGTCAAACTATTCCTTTAAGGATCTGGATATATGCAATCATTGGCTCAATCAAAGTCATTTTGATCAAATCTCTACGGCACTGCACTGTATGCTGGAATGACTAAGTGTGCTAAGCGTGTCACAGAGCAACATTTGTGCCATTAGTCTGTCAGCTTGATCCCCTGAGGTCGTTTGTTTGGATTTGATAAGGTGGAAACAAATCTCAAAGAAAAGCAGCAGACTAATGGGCCCAGTGTGCTACAAGAGAGTCTGTGGCTCGTATCATAGCCAGCCTTACTCCGTCTGTATGCCGACCTTGACCCTCACACCAACACATTATTTCCTCATGAGTAACCACCACTTGTCTGGCGCTTAGGATAGGCATGAGAGGCAGCTGATAACACATGGAAAACCAGTTGGCCATTTGAAGATGATAAGACATAAGAAATATTTGGGTGATAAATGTTCGCCGGAGAATATTTTCACTCTGTCAGAACAGAGTTTAAAAGAATATTAACTTTTTACTGATTATGTGTCTTGGTACACAAAATATAGGCTCTGTTTTTCACAATATGTGTTAAGTCTTTCTTAAAATGTCACTTAAACAAACAAAAAAATCTGCCTTTTACACATATTTTACTAGACAAATACTGACACAGACACTGGCTGTTTGGAGCAGATTACTTGTTAATAGCAGTACAGTGTATGGACCCAGTGTTTTTCTATTGTACGTCTTACTTGTGACTTTCATTATCTCTGTGGGGACGGTAACACAGAAGTTCCAGTTGAGGCCCCTGCTGATGGACCCAAGGAGTCCATTGTGGAACCAGAAGCCCCCCCTCTGCCTGTAGCAGCACCCACAGAGGCTCAGACTGCTGCCCCAGCACCTGATGCTCCTCCAGCTGAGGGTGAGTTACTCAGTTCCCACATTCATTCATTCAGTGAGTCACTCATTCACTCATTAACGTACATAATACTGTCCAGTCTATCAAGATCTTTGAGCGTTTCCTGAAAATGTCTGAAATGCTACATGCACAGTACATGCTTACATACAATGTGTTGGGACTAGCGGCCATTAATCTGCCAAAGCATTGCATTTTTACACCAACTAAAATAAACAAATCACCTAACAGTTCAGTAAATATTATATATGCAATATTCTGCTTTTAATACTTTGATTGAGCTCCACATATTTTGGAATGTCCTGCTGATGATCTGCTTGAAAAAATTATTGGCAGTAAATGCAATTTTTTAATCCATGTTCAGAAGATCAAATGATTTTTATACTGTACCCAAAGTGTCTTGAAATATCTTAAAATGTCACTGGTGTAGCTGAAACCTTTATACGCGATATGCTTCAACAACAGAATGAAGATGATTTCATTTCCTGCTCTGACTTTTTTTACTTTTGAAATAAACATTGTTTCATTTTGATCCCTCAACTTCATGTTGTGGCATTCGGCTCTGATCCTGTTGGATTTTCAGACGGTCAGCCTCCTGACACTAGACAGGACCTTACTGGACTATTCACAGAGAAACCGCAGAGTGGAGAGGTCACTGTCGGTGAGTGGTTCAAATACAGGAATTCTTCTAATATATGGGAAATTATCTAAAATATGAGTCAGTTGCCCCCTTAGAGGAAGTCGCACTGAGTTGGGCAAGGTATTGGGAAATCTATGGAAATAATAATAAGCTGGTGCTTTTAATTGAAAACTGTCATTTTTAACAAATTATACATTTTAGTCTTATTTTTAACTTTGCCAAACAGATAATGTACATCCTAGATCTATGTGATGAAATAATGTATACTGATGTTTATATGCACAGAGATATAACATGACATCGTAGTATGCTGATCATTTGAGTAAGACACAACCAAAAAGCTGCACTGGATGTCAGAACCTGGAGCATAATGTGTTGTGATCACATGACAAACTATTCCTTTGCATAGGTGAAAACATCACGTTTGTGGCTAAAGTGAATGCTGAGTCATTGCTGAAGAAACCCACCGTCAAATGGTTCAAAGGGAAGTGGATGGACCTCGCCAGCAAGTCTGGGAAACACCTGCAGCTGAAGGAATCGTATGACCGCAACAATAAGGTAGCCTAATACTGCAGACATGAAGACTAAAATGTAGACATTAGCAGACAAAAACCGTCACACTTTGATTTCATACACATCCCAACACGTATCTGTAGGATTGTGAGCTCTTAAAAACGGCTCATCATATGTCATTTTATTATTATTAGTTAAAAACTGCAATATGTATCATTTTACTTTGAGGTAACAGAGGTGTTTCGCAAGTCTTAAACTTCTCACCCTCAGTTTTGCAAGCTCTTGCCTCAGTCACTCATCCTGATAACGTGATGAACCGCATGCACGCTATCTTAAAGGTAATGTTATTGGGAGACTGGAGGACATGTTGGCCCCAACAGATTTCATTTCAGATGGTGAGGGAAACATTTACAAGGAAAAGAAAGTATAGCAGTATAATCAGTGGCACGAAGATCCCAAATCTGAAACTAACTAATAATAAAATGCTATAGAATCAAAATCAGAATCACTTTCATTAGCGGTATTTACACGTACAAGGAATTTGACTGGTTTTATGTTCAATTCAATTCAATTCAATTTTATTTGTATAGCGCCAATTCATAACAGAAGTTATCTCAGGACACTTTTCAAATAGAGCAGGTCTAGACCGAACTCTTTAAAACATTAATTACAGAGACCCAACAGTATCACCATGAGCAAGCACTTGGCGACAAGGGCAAGGAAAAACTGCCTGTTAAAAGGCAGAAACCTAGGACAGATCCTCCGGCTCTAGGTGGGTGGTCGTCTGTCTCGACCAGTTGGGGTGAGAGAGAGAGAGAGAGAGAGAGAGAGAGAGAGCGAGAGACAGACAGACAGACAGGTGCACTGCAACAACAGTATTGGCAATGGCAATCTAGCAGGACCATGGCAGGAGGCTCCACCAGGATCGACAAGAACCTGCGAGACGAGACAGCACAAGAACTCCAGGGAAGAAGTGAAGTTAGTAACATGCATTAATGGAACATGAATGAGTGCAGAAAGAGAGAGGAAGGGAGGAGCTCAGTGCACCATGGGAAATCCCCTGATAGTCTAGGCCTATAGCAGCATAACTAAGGGATGGTTCAGGACTCACCTGATCCAGCCCTAACTATAAGCTTTATCAAAGAGGAATGTCTTAAGCCTACTCTCGATGTTGCTCTCAATGTTCATACACAGAATAGGCAGAAATAAACAGGACAAGAAGCTCAACAAAATAGACATAAGCTTTTCACATCTCTCCTCATGTATGTGGTTGCAGATCTATACGTTTGAGATGCAAATCATCTCAGCCAAGCCTAACTTTGCCGGAGGTTACAGATGTGAGGTTTCATCTAGGGACAAGTTTGACAGCTGTAACTTTGAATTGGCTGTACATGGTGAGTGGGCTTATTGTTGGAATATTGTTTTACTTTTGTATGTGCTAGTTTGTTTGTTGCACTCATTAATGTTTGTAATACCATCATTTCAGTCACTAATTGGATTCTCTTGTATCACAACGACTTTGGTGCTTGCTCTATGTTTCAGAGGCTCGTGCTGTTGAAGGTTTTGACATAAGAGCCGCTTTTCGGCGCACGTAAGTTTCATGAGACTTTTTTACTTTGTACAAAACACAAAAATGCCATTGGTCACATCATATTTGTTTACATGCTGATCAATTAGTTTCCTTTTTTCCATGTCAGTTTCTCATTGAAGGTTTGACTGGTGGTCCCCTGACACATTTCATTAATAGAGTTACACGACTATAAAAGTCAGTCTGTATTTATTTTCTTTGCAGGGCTTCAGAAAAGTTACATTAGATACTGAAATCAGTTACAAAGATAACTCACTTTTAACTAATACAATAATATAAATGTTGATTCACATTCATACATATACATTCATTCAGTCAGTTAAATGCTCATTTCATATATTGTTAAAAACTCTAAGTAAAAAAAAAACCTATTATCTTTTTTAAACAAAGAATAATATTGCAAAGGACGATTCCAGCTTGAATTGTTTCTGAAAGCAATATAGTTTATACTGGACATTTTTAACATCATGTTTTCTTATGATAGAAAAACCACAAAGCTTTAAGTAACATTAAATAAATTACACAAATCACTCAATCGAGAATAAAACTAAACTGATACAATTATGCATTAAATTAATGTCAATGTTTCCATTTCAGTGTTTTTTATTTTATTTTAAATTCTGCCAAATCTAAAGTTAATTTAAAAAATAAGTTTATTTTTCCATGAGACAGTTATCATGTGATAAAGTTACAGTAAAACATATTCACTGCAGTGATCTATTTATGGTTTGTTCCAGGTCAGGTGTATTTAATATTTAACATATAAATACATATATTTATAAATATGAATATGAATATTTTATGCACCCTCCAGTGCACTTTACTCTGAAAAGGCATTCTGACAGTAATTAGTGTCCAAAAGAGCTTGAGTACTGAAAACTCATTAGTTTCAATAGTCTAACTAGAAACCAAAAATGTATACCATCAGTTGATCAGGAGCAAAACTGTAGCCATTTATATGTTGCCAGAATTAATTAACCCAGATTTTATATGAATCATTATATTGACTAAATGAGGAGGTTAAAAGGAGTTTAGAGACACAGTTGCCAAACTTCAGTGGAGTATTTTCTGTGTAACAATAACTGTGGAAATGCTAACCTATTAGGAGTGAAGCCGGTAAGAAGAGAAGTGGACCACAAACAAGGTAGTAAAGGGGTTTGTTGCAACAACGGAGGCTCGTATTCAAACTCTGAGGACTTGTTTAAAGAACAGAGAAATCAGGACCAGGATCAGAGACTCTTTCTCTCTCCTGTGGCCTGTTTCTTCTCTGCCTTCAAGTCAAACAGAACCAGTGTTGTGGATGGTGCACCCTCCAATCTGCTGAATTTTAAGTGAACGACCACAGAACGAAGACCACGAGAGAGCTGACAGGATTCAAATTCTAAATCCTGGATGTTGTCGCCAGTAGCCAGGTCTTGATTTGGTGAGATTTGGTTATTAAACTATTAGGTAACAGGCGCTGGTTGCAGTCATGAGCTCTCTCTGATCTACTCCTGGGTCTCACTCAAAACAGCAGAGCCAGCTGCACAAACAGCTACCCGGCAGAGTGAGCTTTGACGGTGGTTTGATCATGCTGAAAGTGCAGGATGTGCTAAGACACACAGGCTTTTCAGTTGTTCGTGCTCTTCCACAGGGTTGCCACATAGAGGAAGCGCAGCTATGGTGTGTTGTAACTCACCGCATAAACCAGATACTCAGCTTCTAATCCTACTGTTGGATCAGACGCAGGAGACAAGCACACAGTCAAACCTATGCCCTTGTCTTTATCTTTCATCCCACTGATTAGAGACAAGCGGACCCTGTGGTGACCATTGTTTTCCTTTAACCTTGAGTGTTTTGTATTGTCCTTGCTTGGATGACTGTCGCTGCTCATGGCTTTAAAGGAATAGTTCGACATTTTGGGAAATGTGCTGGGTTTTTTTGAGAGTTACATAAGAATATTGCGGCCACTCTTATTTCTGTATGTTTGAAGCTATAAAGCCAGGAGGTAATTAGCTTAGCTTGGCAGGAGTGGAAGCAGGGAAGCAGCTACCTCCTGGGCTGAAGTGGCAAAAACTGCAGTTTCTTGCTGCTAAATCTAATTAGCTTTTCTAATTGTAGTTAGCAGTGCACTTTTGCACTTATTGTGGACAAGACGTGTTCATATTTGTAAGAAAGATAAGACGTATACTATAGCATGAAAGCTAATGTAGGCTGTTGTCTGGCTGTTAGTTCATGTAAAGTTTCTGGTTTTATTTTACGTTTTTAATCAGAAGGAAACACAGGTCATGAGATTTGCACAGCAGCATGATGTAGAAAAAAATTTGATTCGACTTGGAGTTAAACAAAAGTTCAGACACCTCTGAAGTAGTATAAGTACTGTAAATAGGTGAATTTCCCAAAATGTCAAACTGTTCCTTTAAACATGGCAACACCTTTCTCTCCAACAAACCATCTGCTTGTACATTCACTTCTTTAAAGGTCTTGTGTGTAATATTTAGGAGACTCTATTGGCAGACATTTAATATTATAATAGTATGTTTTCATTAGTGGATAATCACCTAAAAATAAGACATTTTTATTGCGTTCGTTTCATTAGAATGAGCTGAAGCAGCGGGTCCTCTTCTAGAGAGGCCGCCATGTCGAACCACCATGTTTCAACAGAAGCACAGTATGGACAAACCCAACACTGGATGTAGATAGGCCCTTTTCACAAGATTTCACATGGACTTTAGTTTCTCCTACTCCGCTTCCCGTTCCGGGAGGTTGAGGCAAGGGTGGTGCAATCACCAACTACACAGCTAGATGCCACTAAATCCTACGCACTTAGACCTTTAAATGCACTTATTTCCTTTCAGTCTTAAAGAGTGATACTGTGCAATCCAATTTCTCTTCTTTGTGTTGAGCAGTATCATACTATTATATATATATATATATAGTATTATATTATATATAGTATAGTACTCTAGCATATTGGAGCAAGGGTAAACAGGATTGTGTCAAGGCCTAGAAATGTGCATTGTTTTATTTAAAACAAACCATGTCTTTGAAGCATTTATCTTTGCTTTTGGAGAAATCAAGTAGCGTACTGTGCTGTTAATGTTGATGTTTTGTTGCTGGTGACTGATATTTTTGCAGTAGCACAGATGGAAAAGATGACTCAGGAGAGCTGGACTTCAGTACCTTATTAAAAAAGAGGTGGGCAATTACAAATAATTTAGACAATAATTTAGTTTCTTTACTTTCAGGATAATACTTTTTTTTTTGTCACTTTGTATAATCTAACTGTGTCTCATTTTCACTTTTTCTGGACCGCCCTGCATCTTCAGAGAGTAAGCTACTTCTAAGTTTGCACACTAAAAGCTGGAATAACCTTATAACACTTACCTGCATGAAAACAGGCCTAAACATTAACTCACGAGACACAATTATAAATTAGCACAACATGATGTGTCCAATGTCTCAGGATTTTAACTTTTGAGTTTGCAAAATCTTCTTCAAATCATTAAATTTGTATGCCAGTAGAAATACCATGTACAATCATATTGAAACAGAACAAAGTCCTGGTTTCCACCCATATGTGATCCTGATAATATAGTTTCCCTACCTTATCTCACTTTTATCATCACACTCATCATATTCTACATTAATCCTGTGATCACTAATATTGTATTTTCTGTCTTGAAGGCCTTCTCACTCATACTAGAAGAATAACACATATTGTTTATGGTCAATGAGATTCTCTATGCGAGCCCTCTTTGAGTAAAGAAAGACTTTTACTCAAAAACAAAAGTCCCTTTCCCAACACATGGAAAATCTCTTCTGTGTATCATAAACTGTTACCAGATATTTATTGTCCCCTGTGCTCAAGAAGATTGGACACCATGTCAAATTCCAAACAAATAATTATGTTAACATGTGATTTTAACTGACTGGTGTTGTTGATATTGTGCAGGCTTGCTTCACTGATTAACTACTGGTATAATATTTAAGGTGTGATTCGTTTTAAAGGCATATTTCTAATATGCTGATTGCGTTGCTTTTGAAATGCTGTGTTTTAACTTGTCTGGTTTGTTTTGCCATATTTGCCTCTTGGGTTCAACCTCTGAATGAGCAGCAGTTTCTTAAAATCCTCCAATCGGTAAGAAACTGCTGACGTGCTGTCTGGGTATTGCTGGAAAACATTGTTGTGCATGCTTTGTCGTCTGTCAGCATTCAGTTTTTTAAAGACTTGCATTTATTTATTAGATAACAATTAACATTTTACTGTATTATCACATTATAATGATAATAGGTATGGTAATTATTGTTTAATAATGAATCTATATAATGAGAATACAAAGAAATACAATGTTAACTAATCTATATCATAAATTATATAGTGTAAATTATTTAATCATACGTGCACAATCAACCCTGAGTGTTAATCACAGTAGTTTCAACAGTGGTGGAAAGTATTTAAGTACATTTACTCTTTACTTTCTAATTCTGAGGGACTCGTACTTTACCTAGGTTTATGCTACTTCGTACTATAATTCCAGCTCATACACAGGTTGTACTTTTTACTTGTTACTTTGCATTAAAAGATTCTCCATCCAAAATATCATCTTATAAAATATGATACATTGTTGTAGATTAAACTATCCAAAATTATTTAAAGTAGTTAAATTTAGCTCCAACTTGATCAGCTGGCAACAGCAAAAAGTTACTCACACATTAATAATAATTATCACAATTAAATCCGTGACACTAAGCAGGCCATTTCCTGGATAATGAGTACTTTTACTTTTTATACTTTAAGTTTTTTATGTACTTTACTTATTTAAGATTTTAATATGAAAAGTATTTTTGTACTGAGGTATTGCTGTAGTACATTGAATACTTCCACTACTGATAAACAGTTAAGAAATACTTACACATGCAGTGATACACAGATAATAGACTCAGAAGACTGAACAAGGCAGGTGATGTGGAAAAGCCTTTTACCCACTTGGTCAATCAAGCTTAGAGCGAGCAACAACAACAACAAAGAGACACAGACAGCTTGAACACGAGGCAGCTTAGGCAGGATGATCTGAACACTGCTGCCTGTGTACACTGCACTGGTGAAGTGATGAGTTGATGGAAGGAAGCTGCACACAAAGCCTGTCAGGTGATTGGCGGAGGTAGATAAGTTGCTGGGGGCACCTAGTGGACAGGTGTGGTAAAAACAGACAGAGGGAGGGAGATGTAGAGAGAGAGAGGAGAGAGGAGGAGGGGGAAGACAGTGCAGCTATCACTAGCTATCACAAAGCATTTAAGACTAAATGGGGATGATACTGACTAGTAAAATCTAAGTCATTTACCTTAAACCTTAAATTTATCTCATTGTTTTATCAGAGAAGTTATTCACATCAGATGTGGTGAGGGAGGTGGGCTGTTTACAGCTGGGCAGTACAAAAATCTTTAATATAATATTTGTTTAAATTAATTAACACAAGGCCTTAAACATACATAAACATTATCTTGTGTATATTTGGGCACACAAAACAACAAATGGTTGTGAAAGGGAAGTGGTATAATAATTAGCAATATCAAATCAAACAAACACTTTGTGATCATGGAGGAAATTATCATTTTTGTATAGAAACCACTGTAATACAATGTAATATATACCATTATCAAACCACTGATCATTTTATATGTTATCAGTTAGTAAACAATGTATGACTAATCATCTGCTGCTTGTTAGTTTTCATTAATAGTGAATTTTGAATAGTAATAGTAATCTGTGAGGTATTACAGTAGCTCTGTTACATCCCTGTAATCTCTGTGCTTAGTGACTGGTTTTAACATCTTCCTTCCTCTGGTTGGCTTACGTGTATTAGAAACGTGCAGATGAGCTCAGAGCCGGATGTGGACGTGTGGGAGATTCTCAGAGATGCTCCTTCCTCAGAATATCAGAAGATTGCTTTTCAGTATGGCATTACTGACCTGAGAGGCATGCTTAAGAGACTCAAGAAGATGAAGAAAGAAGAGAAGAAAAGTGCAGGTTTGTGCAGAGTTTTATAATAGGACGATTCTGACGAGATGTTATATATAGACCTAATTGTAAATGATTATTTATGTCTAACTTCTCCAAAACTTAGCTTTCCTCAAAAAGTTGGATCCTGCTTACCAAGTGACAAAGGGACATAAAATAAAACTGGCCATTGAGGTCGCCAATCCAGATGTTGACGTGAAATGGCTGAAGAACGGACAGGAAATCCATCCAACTGGAAGGTTAGAATTTAGAGGGGAGAAGGAAACTATTCACCTCAGCTCTATAAAACATGCGGTGCCTGTACATCGTTAAAGCATTCAACAAATATCCATGATTTTACATTTCTCTATTTCTCTATTTTTCCTCTGCTTTCATCAACATGTGGATGAATTCCATACCTTGTTCTTTCATTACGTCCCTAGCAAGTAAGTGTCCAAGAGTATATAAAAAGCTCTTTCCACAACACATTTACGTTTCATCATCAATTTTATGTCTTCAACTTAATTTGCTTTGTAAAATGTTGTCAGCAAATACTGCATTAAAAAGTTTTATCCCTTAAAAAAGTATTTACAGTGTATAAAAACTCTTCCCCTCTTTTGTCAAGGTACATCTTTGAGAGCGTTGGCAACATGCGCTACCTCACCATCAACCACTGCTCCTTGTCAGATGATGCAGCGTATTGCTGTGTGGTGGGAGATGAGAAATGCACCACTGAGCTCTTTGTAAAAGGTATTTAAGTTTTAGAGTAAAAACTACAACATAACAAATCCAGAAAAAATACACATTTGCAAGAGCTTTAAGTTCTCATTCTTGTCTGTTACCTTTCAGAGCCTCCTGTCATGATTGTGAAGAATCTGGAGGATCAGATGGTCATGAAGGGTGAGCGGGTGGAGTTAGAGTGTGAAGTCTCAGAGGAAGGAGCCAATGTTAAATGGTGAGATATTCTTCTTTACACTCACAAATCTACTCACTGTTAGGAGTTACATTTTTATGATGTTGGATCATAATTCCCAAATGTCGGATTGCCAGGTCACTAAATCAAATCAAAACAGGTGCAATTAATCCTTTCTTTGAATTAAAAGCTAATTTTCAGTCCCTCTTACACATTGTTCATTGCTGAGACACCCAGCAGATGGCATTTGAGTTTGTCATGTCCACAGACAGAGCAATGTCTCTGTGACAGACTGAAGTATCGCTGCAAGCCATAAATTATCACCTCAGCGGAAAGGTCACGTCAGCATTTTAGTATGCCCCATGTGACCTTTATCTGAAGGAGAAAGTTACTGCAAATGCATAAAGGGCTTTTATTTTAGTCCAAAATAATTATCTTGGAAAAGAGGCCAAAGATCAATATCTGGGGGGGAAAGTCACGTGATTAATGGTAAAGACAAATTTAACATTACAAAAGGTAAGACGTATCATGATCTAAAGTCGACAAACATCAGTGATAAATAATAATGTACTAACCTTCAAATTATGTTTCTAGTCTGGTTTCCCGAACTTTCAATTAAATCTCACTATCTTCATTCAATAAATGGAGCTAGCTTAGTTGTCATCACAAGACCTAGACGCCTTACGTCTTATAAAAACCAGTCATATACTGTAGGAGCAGGAGAGATTATAACGTGTGGTTAAGAGCTCCAAATACAGCAAGAAGTCCTTTGAGCACATATTCACTTCATCATATGATATGTTTGATATTTACTGAATTATTAATCAAGTGTTCACTCTTAAAGACCTGCCCATAAGTTTTAATTATGACATGTTTTAATCATGAATTTTGGTTGCTGCAGGGAGAAAGACGGTGTGGAATTGACAAGAGACGAGTCTTTCAAGTATCGCTTCAAGAAAGATGGCTGCAAACATGTCCTGATCATTAATGAGGCCACGAAGGAAGACTGCGGCCACTACACGGTTAAAACGAATGGCGGCGAGTCTATGGCTGAACTCCTGGTGCAGGGTGAGTGCCTGTCATGCTCAGTACAGTATGAACCACTTTTGTCGCTCCAAGTGCACATTCTCATACCCTCGCAAGAGTTGTGCGGCCTTGCCACTCCCGGCATGCTGTCTATCTTTGGGATATAGTGCCATTGCCTGCATCATTCTGCCAAGGTTACCGCGGCGACGTAAGTCCACATACCAGCTAAAGTTAGAAGACGTGGACCATATTTCACCTGAAGGGCACAGGTGTGCACAAGTGACCTGGTTTGTCTCTCTACTCTTTGTTTCCCTTGTCTCAGTCGCCTGTGTTGTTGTTGTTTTGTTGTATCTTTTACATTCAATAGTTGGCATCATATGTAACTAAAAGCAGAATAAAGCCTGACATTTTAATAGTTTATAACAAAAGCAATACTATAAACTCACTCTTGACACTCACACTTGAGAGTAAAAAAATCAAGTCTTTACAAAAAATAAGTTGTTTGAAAGTATTTTTTTTTATTATAGATGATTCCTCTACTGAGGTGAGATTTTTAGATATAAGATCATTCAGTTATCTTTGCTTTAATATGGTGTTTTGAGTATATTTAAACCTACTACAAGGAGTTTTTAACTGGTTATGAAACAGTCTCAATTAAATACTAATGCCTCTATATGACCTACATAAGCACACCAGACGATCTACAAGGAGACTGGTTATTTCTATATAGTTATTCTTAATGCCTGCCTGTCATATTCTCCTTGAAATCAATTAAATGAGGCGGTGGAAACACTACCACTTTTGTCCACAGGGGCCGCCAGAATCAACAACATGAAAGTTCCTTGGTGCTGCTTTAAGACATGCCATGTTTTGCAGTTTAAGGTGGTTAAATATGCTTAGAAGTCTTAATTTCAATCCACAGGTGATCTAAAAGCGATGGATGGGGACGATTCAAACTCATCCGCACATGGACGTAGGCACAATAAAAACCCCAGCTAGTTTGACCCTCTTTATCACCCAGTAACCATTTCATCTCAGTACCATTAGTATCAAGTATTCATTAAGATCCCAAAAAAACTTGAAACCATCACATGACAGCCATCAATGTTTATAATTTGACCTTTCCTTCCTGTGTTTTCCTGTAGAGGCTATACTTTAGTCCTGGCTAAATACTGAATATATACCTTCACTTTTGCATGTATGTGGGATATGGAAATAGGTGTGTGTGTGTGTGTGTGTGTGTGTGTGTGTGTGTGTGTGTGTGTGTGTGTGTCTCTGTGTGTGTTCTAGGGGTTGTTGTGTCTAGATTTATACCCAATGTTTGTTCCTGCTCTTAGTCCAGTTAAGTTTATCTGGCCTGTTAATCGAACACCGAGCCTGCCAAGAATTACCAGCTGCCATCGTGCAGCAGGGATCAACACCTCGGTCCACAGCAGAACTCCCATTATAATGCCATTCCCACCTTATTTGCCCTCCCTGGCAATGAGCTGAAACTCCTGTAACCTTTACAGGGAGCGTAGTGTGAGTTATCTCATCCAGACAACAATTTCTTTGGGATAACTTTAATAACTCCCAAGTACATTATTTTCTTGTGATATACAGTAATAGCCTTAAGCTCCTGCATCTGGTCTTAATATCCTCCCACTTTATTTTCTACCATAAATCCAATTAACTATTCCCCTTGTGTCTGTTGCTAAGATACAACACACAAAGGCCGCACAAAGATAATGAACACCTCATGCTCAAACAGATTATTACCATATTATCCTCACATACAATAGCTGCATCTAATTTTTTATCATATTATCCTCACACATCATCATCTTATTGCATCTTATTCCACCGTCTCCCGCAGTAGCACCTCCTCTTAAGTCTGAAGGCCTCGAGAGTTTCTATTATCTGCACTCTGAGCCTATGTTTTTCTGACTGTGTAGAGAAAGAACTGGAGGTCTACCAGAGCATCGCAGACCTCACAGTGAAGGCAAAGGATCAGGCGGTTTTTAAGTGTGAGGTGTCGGATGAGACCGTGAGGGGAACCTGGTACAAGAATGGCGTAGAAGTCAAGTCTGACGCCAGAGTAAACATCACACACATTGGCCGGTGAGGACACTTTTACACTAAATATGCTGCATATATCCACCATGACACTATGAACTTCACCTAAAATTTTGACCGTTTTAGGATCCACAAACTGACCATTGATGAAGTCAAACCTGAGGATGAAGGAGACTACACTTTTGTTCCAGATGGACACGCTTTTAACCTTTCTGCCAAACTCAATTTCTTGGGTAATATTGATGCTTTTAGTTTTAACACATCAAAATTAACCTCACTCATAGCCTCACAAGCCACATTTTACTATTACTATTTCTCACTCTTTTCTTTATTTGTTTTCCTAGAGGTGAAGATTGATTATGTGCCGCGTCAAGGTACCACAAACTTACTCTCTTGTAGCATAGAGCAGTATAAATGAAACTGTTTGTTCATTTTAACTGTTTCTCTCACTTCCTAAGATCCTCCAAAGATCCACCTGGACTGTATGGGTCGCACTCCTGAGTCAACCATCGTGGTGGTGGCCGGCAACAAACTGCGTCTGGATGTCCCTATCACTGGAGACCCTGCTCCCACAGTGGTCTGGACCAAAGGAGAGAAGGTAAAACAGACAAACAGACTTCTGTTAATAATCAGCCTCTCACCCATCGACTGACATCCACCATCTGTCCAGAGCACCGTCGGTAAGGTCTGAAATCTGAAACTTGCTTCGTTCACTATCAAACATATACTTAAAAGCCTTACTAATGTTGTTAAATCCCCCAAAATGTTGGCACATTTAAACAATATTTAGTAAATTTCTAATATAACACAAGCTGAGGAGATTACACTCTTACCAACTAACTATTTTGAGCCTGAAAATAACTGAATTAAGTAGAAAAGATTTGCTCTGTAGACACACTGATGTTCTCTCTCTGGTAATAAACTTGGCTGGGATACTGAGGTCTTTTAACCAAGCTGAATAAGTACAATGCTACTTACAGCTTAATTCAATGATGCTTACTAGCGTGCTGATCCTTGAGTTGATGAGAAAGAGAGGTTACATGCCCTCTCTGTTCTCTTCAGCTTTTACCGCTTTGCTCTGCTCAAATGTAGGCTAGTTCTGTAAAACCCGATGGAGAGGAGAAAGGAGGGCCGGCGTCCTCTTGGACCCTGAAGGATGGGGAAGTAAGTGTGCATGGCCCGTACGAATATATATGCCTGTTTGTAGTTAATTGACTCTGAAAGCCAAGTCAGTATGTTGACAACATTGCCATCATGTTTTTCAATGAAGACTGAAAACACTAAGCTCACCTGTAGTGCATTGGATGTACAAATACAGCCAGTGGAGAAGCTGCAATTTACATGCATTTGACCCATTGTAAACTTGGAATTGTGTTACTGCTTGAGTTGTGAAAAGATAATTCATGCAGCCATCAAAACACAAAAAGAATTGATCTTGTAAATACTTGACTGAAAAGGTAGTGTGTGTTTGTATTGATTTACTGCTTCACAACCCCAGAGAAAGAACAGGCTGCAGCAGTAACAAGAGATACAGACAAATACATGAATATCAGCTTCTCCAGTGGCTGTCACTCTAACCGTGTGTTTTGCTTATATGTCTCAGTTTTTACAAAGAGCAAGGTGAAAAAAATAAAATACTGCATGTGGTGTTCGTCAATGTCGATAAGGTAAGAGCATGTTCCATGTTTCTTCCTGCAGACAACAGACACAGTTCAGAGGAAACTGGGCAGTAAGTATGTTTTTGTACGGTAACTCTATAAAGTGGGGAATCTTGGAATCAATGCTTAAATACAATAAAGTAATGTGAATGTATATTCTGAAGTTGTGCTGAAATGCTTCACATTTTCAGATGGTAAAGTCGGACTAAACTCAAACTAAGGCCCTTGGAACTATCTGCCTTTTTACTACACTGAAACAAAAGTCCACCATTTCTTTATTGTCATATTCAATAGAAGACACCTCTTTAAGTAAGTAGTAAGAGGACCTTGAGTTAAGTTTTTTTTTTTGTCAAACTTCTAGGTATTTTATGTTCCCCTTACATACTTTTCTCTTGAGGTTATTTTAGTTATTGTCAACCAGATCAATATATGTCAAAATAACCATACTTGCATAACTACAAGAAATCAATACATGGACTCAACTGCCTTGGTGTCTTTTCAGAAGCTGTCCAGCACCAGTCCTGCATTTTGCATGCTGACATCTTGGGTTGTGTGTTCAATTCAAACATGTAAAAATGCATGAGTTGCTCAAATACTTCAAGAAACTTTATGTTGGTGTTAACCTTTGTCATCTCTCCAAAAGTTGCATGATATTAATATGCCTCGATTAAATCTACTGTACCGCTGTCTTTGTCTAAGGTTTGTGCAACAGAACCATCGATCAGACTTCACTCAGGCACAGTCCAGTAACTCATTTTCTAATTGTATAGGTCATCACCGAGGGAGACGGTAGGGTCCACGTCGAAACCAGCAAAGGACACTGTGTCTTCACCATCGAGGGCGCAGATAGACAGGACGAGGGAATCTACTCTGTTGTGGTTCGAAACCCTGCTGGGGAGGACACTGCAGACATCAATGTGAAAGTTGTCGGTGAGACAGAGCTCCCCTGTTAATTTTATTTGTTTATTTTTGGGGGGAGGCTTTTTATGTCTTTGTTGGATAGTGAAAGACGAAGTTAGACAGGAAAGGAAGGAGAGAGAGAGGAGTGATGACATGCAGCGAAAGGCCACAGGCTGGACTCTAAGTTCACTACCTGTAAATGTAAATTTACATGTTTTTTTATTTTCCCCCAGATGTTCCAGATCCTCCCCAGGCAATCAAAATCCTCAGCGTGGGAGAGGACTCCTGTGTTGTCCAGTGGGATCCCCCTCAGTTTGATGGTGGACAGCCAATTATTGGTAAAAAAAACAAACATATTAATCTTATTGTTTATATTATTTTGAAACTACTCAGGCATCCTGCTTTATTCTGCTGATGAGCCCAAGTTTGTAACAACAACATAATTTGCTCCCATTTTATTTCTCAGGTTATGTGCTGGAGAGAAAGAAGACAAAGAGCTACAGGTGGATGAGACTGAACTTTGACCCTTACCCTGACACAACTTATGAAGCCAAGCGGATGATCGAAGGAATGGCGTACGAGATGAGAGTCTATGCAGTCAACAGCATTGGCATGTCTCGTCACAGTCCGGCCTCACAGCCTTTCGTGCCAGTCGGTGAGTCTTTACCAACAGGTTTAAATCACCTCCTCTCCCACTTGTTGTGTTCAATTAATCATTTTCAGAAATGTGCTCTACGGCATATTCATGTGACAGTTGATGGTGAGGAAGTTGACGTGTCCGTCTTTGGATGACTCTGAGGTTGTGTAATGTTTACATTGGTTGGTCTAAGGTTTCACTTGGGTCATGTGGTCTGGTTGAGAAATGTGGGACAGGGTCATGTTTGCGGTATGTTTGTTGTAATCCAAAGTGTTTGTGGATTGTGTGTAACAAAAATACAGGTTGCACATACATGATCCACAGGTCATTTGTGAGTAATGTCAGTGAGGGTGTGTGTGTGTGCCTGTTACACCACTACATGGACCAGATAGATTAGCACTGTACAGTACAATGCTAAATTATGTTTTGTTTTGTTATGTTACTTGTTAAAGAAGGGCCACACTGGCTCAGGTAGAGCATGGTTGGGGATTCCTCTTGTCTATATATCAAAGTGTCCTTGAGCAAGACACTGAACCCTAATAGGCCCTGATGGTTAAAATAGAACTCCACCAATTTAGTATTGCTCCCAACATTGTTGGACTCTCAATGACATTTTTTTTTTAAAGCAGCACAACCAGAGATATAGTTTTTTTTCATCTTAGTACAGGCTAATGTAATCTTGAGCCTCCAGCCTCAAGCAGAGGTGAGAAGTGGGCTACAGAGCTCATATATACTGTCAATGCTACAGAGCTCACTTTTTCCAACTTCAGACCCAAAGATTTTTCTCTTTTTTGAACTTGTAGTCTTCAGACCCAGCTGATGCTGACATCACTTGTGACAGAATTGTTTTTCACAAATGCAGTAGGACTCCCAAAGACCAAACCACACCCACACAGTCCTAAAGAAGTAATTTTCGAAGAGGAGTTTACGTATTTGTCCTGTCTTGATTACTTACTTAAGCCCTACTGCACTTCCCTAAGGAGTTTACTTTCTTGTTTAGGATGCTCTTTTGTAAATTCCTTGTGTAAATCTTTACTTTAGATACAGTACGTCAAGGAAATGCAGCAGGCCCTGATAAATATACAACAACACCTGGACATTCTGGTGTTTGGCAGTCAGTTTATAATATAGAAACATGAGGGGAAAAAGTTAGCTTGATAATCAGACTGAACTTTCTTCTGTGTGAACTGATCAAATCAGAGATGTGTGAGGTAGTCCAAAGGTCCAGAACAATATCCAATAAGGCAGGGGCTCAAGTTTGGATTGTCTCTTAGTCTATCACTCTTTTTTTTTTACTACCATCTCATGCTCCACTTGTTGATTTAAGAGGGAACATCATTGTATCCAGATGGCCAATGGCTTGTAAGACAGCTGATTAGGAAACTATCCATGGCATCCCTCTCTATAAATAATTGCATGGAAGCGCTCGGCCCTACTGGGACCAGCTGCTTAACACAGAGGGTTTCACGCTACTGTGGAGGCTGCTCCAGAGGAAGCATTGTTGTCACCACAGCAAAGACAAGAGTAAAGACAACGAGAGACTGTATGTGTGTGCAAGAGACAATGAGAGCATAGGTTAGAGCAAGGCATTTGTCAAAAGAGGCGGACACGTGCAACCACCAGCTTTAATCAGCAGCAGCAGGACTGCTATTCACTGAGAAAGGATGACAAAGCCTAAACTTCCAAAGACAGCCGAGAAGAAGCCAGTGGAAGAGGATAAACCTGTGGAAACAGCAGAAGAGACACCAGTTGATACTCCAGTGGAGGCACCAGCAGAGGTGCAAGACAACAAGCCTGATACTGAGACAGCTCCACCTCCTGAGGCAGAACAGGAACCAGAAGCCAGTAGTGAACCGCCAGCAGATGCCCCTGCAGAGGCAGGCCCCAGCGGGGAAGTGGGAGCTGCTCCAGCTGAGAATGAGACACCACCAGCAGAGGGTGTCCCCTCAACTGAAAGCAGTCCCCCTGCAGAGGAAACCTCTGTGGAGCCTGTTCCTGCTGCTGAACCAGAACCAGAGCCGCAACCTGTTTGTAGTAGGCATTATTCATTTTGAGATGTTGGATTGCCATGTCGGTTTTAGAGATAGAGATTAAACTTAATTTTGTTTATATGCAAATTACTTTAATGGGAAAATTGGCTGCATATTCCAGCCCCTCATTTTTCACTGGTGTACATGTTTGAAAGTGTTAAGCATGGTAAGGTAATCGTACTGTTGATGTTGCAAGTGAAAGCACATTTCTAGTTTTAACCTTAAAAACACATCTGAATGAGATTTTTTTTGTCCTGACTACCCTGAGCTACTTTTTATACAATCTAAGCAGCGATGACACAAGGAAACCCTTGACCTCTGGCAGGCATTCCTATCATTTGCCTGCACTGTATACATAGCCTGTGTCCTATGACACAGAGTCTTGGCCTTAGTGACAAAGCCAGACTAAAACTCAACACCTCTTAGTCTATTCTCATGTTGTCAGCAAGTCGTTGCAGCAACATGATAATATATGGTTGACTTAATATTACCTCAGAACAATGATGAGATGTTCTTTTCTCAGAAAGCAGTAGTATTTCACTGAATGATTTAGTGTGTGTAAATCCATCACCACGCTGGCTGCAGTTTCCACCATACTTCACTTGTTTTAAGCCAAGCTAAGCTGATTGCTCAACTATTAAGACATACAAATGTTTGAATGTACCTGCTTAAACTTTTCAAAATGAAAAATGAATCATTAGTGCTCTATTAAGTAATCCATGACCATTATTACTATTAGCAGTCATTTAAACCTCTCTTCTCCCCTCCATAATTCCTCCTGACCCCTTCAGTTTTACAGTAGACACAAGTAAGCTTGTAAATGAGAGTAGAGGTCTTAAATCATAACACTAAATGCTGTAATAATAAAAAATGCTCCATCATTTTTTTTTACTTGAAAACCTTTTAGTGTATGCAGTTAAAATGTGTTTGTTCTGACATTGCTTGTTTGCTTTTGGCCCTTCTGTGGTGAAAGCAATGCGTGGGAAGAAGCTGACGAACCAAACTCTTTTAATGCAAACTTAAATCGTGTCATTTCATCCCTGCGGGGCAGAAAGTACAGCAGGCACTTAGACTTCAGTCCAGCTGTGAACTCCAGGTCAGTCAGACAGCTCATCTTTCCTGGGATGACATAAGCAGGTTTACAACAGGCTAATAGATTGTTTTGATAACTGATAACACAACCACAAATATTTGATATCGCTAGGATCAGCTGTTGTTATTACATTCACAATCACATCTGCATCACTCTTAGTAAATTAAATGTTAACTTTGACTGGTTTCTTGGATGGTTAACATTGTTATATGTTAAACATTGAGCATAGCGTTAGTTCAGGCAGGGCACGAAGTCAGGCTTAGCTTTCAGTTACAGCTATATCGTACGAGCACAGCTAGTCATAAACATACATCAGCTGATTTCTCTAAGCTTCCCATTGGATACCATACACAGTCAGCTGACAGCTCACCTGATTTTCTCAAGCATCCAATTGGCAAACATCATGCAGGGCGCCTTATTTAAGCTGCTTTAGCCTGCCTGCCTATCTCTGCTGCTCCCTCTACAAGCCTTTTGCACCCACCTCCACCCCAGCTCCTCCTTTTTATGTTGTTTCTAATTAATCAATGTCATTTTCTGATTGCCATTGATGCTTGCTCTGTTCTGTACCCTGGGGTCTCTGCTGCCGCTCTCCTTGTCTTAAACTTTTCCATGTATGCACATGGAAGGGCAGGGAGGTGTGCTCTCCCTGCCTTAAGGTTTTCCACGTAGGCACGCGGAAGGACAAGGAGGTCCCAGAACAGAGCCATACCGCCAAATGTAATTCTGCTTGGAATATAAGATATTTTGACGAAAGTGGTCCTGACTGAAATACAGTTACACCAGCTGTGGTTGATGTTTTTCCTTAACATTAAATATGATACTTCACAACATACATACATACATACATATATATATATATATATATTTGGACAAGACAACAGGCCAATATGGCCACATCAACAAGCTTTTGTGCAGCACTGACATTTCACTTTGACTGGCTAAAAGAACAGACAAATTAACAAACTCACTGCCTTGGTAGCCTGGTTAATTTGTCTTGATAGCGTTTCTGTTGTCTGTAGGTCAGAAAAAATGTAAAAAAAAATGCACGTTTATACTGCTCATTTTACCTTAAAACATCGTTCTAATCGTTGTGTATTATATGAAAGAGTAGCCTGGTCCTCACTATCGACAAAAAGAGAACCACACAGTCAGTTTATAAAGGTCCATGTCTGCCTCAGTTTATCACTTCTTTTAAAACTAACTCATCAGAACAGATCCCAGGACTGACTAACTAACTCTTAATGCACCACCAGTAAATACTGAATTTGAGCAGTACTTTGCACCATATGACTTTAAAAACTCACAATAACTTGACTTTTAGTCCAAATGTCTGTGATTGTTTCTGATGCTGTTTGTATGTGCATGTTATTTTGTTTTATTTCTGTTTTATGTCTTCTGCTGTACACGCTCATTCGTCATTTGATGGTGGTTTATGAAGATACTGTACGTATGAAATGAAACGTTGTGAATAGATAATACTGCTGCTATGGAACAGGGGATAACAAAAGTAATAGCACTGAAGCACTGTTTGCTGTTACAAAGCTCTGGGAGGCTTTTTGTTACATTACATAATTTGTTAATTCCCGATCAGGTTCATCCACTAGTCCATTAATTAATTCTGAATTTATTTCGGTAATGCTTTAACTGACTAACAGAGCCCATTTATCTGCCCTCTGCCTCACTCTCAGCTCCCACAAGTGCGCCCATCGGACTGTGCGTCGACGACATCAGTGACACTTCGATCTCACTGAAGTGGCGGCGGCCTGAGAGGATCGGCGCAGCTGAACTCGAGGGTTATGGGGTTGAGTACTGCAAGGAGGGCAGTAAGTGTTGGAGCCACATGCCTGCATGCTTTTGATAAGGAAGGTTTTTTATAGCATATACCATCAAAGACATCAGTTAATCGCAGTGAAGCACAGCAACTCATTTAGGCACACGGGGGCAGTCAGATTACTAAAAGTTATTGTTAGTTGGGAAGAGAATGAAAACATTTCTACCCAGGTAGCTGAATGGTTAAAATACCATGTAAACACAACATCCCTGGCTGCATATGTCACACACGTCTTTCCCACTCTATCCAATAAAGTCAAATCAAAATACAGTATATGCCCCAAATATGTGTGCCACACTCACTATGTGGTCACTCTGTGTTTTATTAATACAAAATGAACATGAACAATAGGACATACATCGATTTCACAATGAATCTTTAACCCCAGAGGCTATCAGCTATGCAGGTCAGGGCAAAATAAATACAAGAAGCATAAAAGTTTAGTGTTTTCATGGTTCTTTCAACATGTCAGTTTAGATAAATACCTGAGCCATCTTTCCTGTATTCTTTTGCTCTAGGGGTGCGTCTGGGCCATCAGTATGATCACATTAACCTTTGTAATTATCTACTTCAGATATCTTAACTTGCTGATCTGCTAACAAAATAGAGGCTCAGATGAACTTCTATCTCTATATTTAACTTTTGTTCCAATTGCAGTCAAGTGAATTATGTTATTGTAATTTGTTGCTGTGTGTTTTCTGGTCGCAGCAGATGAATGGATACCAGCCATTGAGGGTCTGACTGACAGGACATCGTTGATCATCAGAGATCTCACCACCGGAGACAAGCTGCAGTTCCGTGTCCGAGCTTACAACATGGCAGGACCCAGTGCTCCCACCACTCTGGCTCAACATGTCACCATCAGAGAGATAATGCGTTAGTATTTATTCATCTGCTCCTGCTCCCTAAGTTTCAACATCTGCAACTGGGCCTTATTGTCTCATTTAAACTCCCTTCTCTTTTTCATAACCTGTCATGCCTTTTATTTTGTGCTTTTTCTTTCACAGAACGACCTAAAATTTGGGTCCCAAGAAATCTCCGCCAGACTCTGATGAAGAAAGTTGGAGACACTGTCAACCTTGTGATCCCATTCCAGGTGCAGTAACCATTAGGATAAATCAATCAGACACCTTCTTGAAATCATCATAAAACACCATGGTGCTTTATTCTGAATACAGTATAAACACCAGAGACTGAGTTACTATTCCCACACAAAACATTAAAATCAACCAGTAACTTGGGTAAAGCTGAGAAATGCAGAAAGGTACGAGGTAATTTGTTTTGTCATTATACAACACAAGGTTCCACAATGAAGAGAAGGTTGTAGACCCTTCATGGTACACAAACATAGAAGACAACAGACAATTAAGTTCGAATAACATCAATTAGAATTTGCGTCTGTTGTAATGTAAAGAGCAGCAACCACATACCGAAGAAATTGTGTCCATCCACTTTGACTGCGTTTGAGCACCAACCATCATCAATGTAAACATAGTCTGCCTCCCCTTGTCCTGCTGAAGATTGACTTCAAAGTCATCAAAAATGGACAGTAAGATTGTCTTTTTAAAGTTATGAAACAGTGACAGAGAGAGGCTCTGACAGCAAACCATAAAACAAAATGTGGGTGCTTAATCCAGCTCGATACCGAAAATGTGAAGTTTGTTGAAGGTGGTGGCAGAGGAAAGACCATGTTTTTACCTAGAATGCTAACATAATCATACATACCTTTATTTTGACATAACATAACTTTCAATAATTAAGTCAAATGTTCAGGGGAAATCTTGACCTGTTGGTGGCATCAGGTCATGCGGGTTCATCCTTTGAGGACCATGAATGTTTGTTGTTTTACACTCTGGAGCAAAGTGGTGTAGTGACAGACTGACCAACATACTACAGCCAGATTTGGCAAGGTTTCCTTAAAAAAAGAATAATGTTTTTGAAGATAGATTATCAGTGGATTTTGTTTAAAGCTCACTTTTGTTCATGTATTATTTGTAAATGGAAACATAGCATTTTTAATGAATATCTTTGTCGTCTTGTCTTTACTTGTCACACAGGGTAAGCCCAGGCCAAAGGTTACATGGAGCAAAGATGGGGAGCCCCTACTCCCCACATTCGCATGTGTCCGGAACAGCGATGTGGATACGATCCTCTTCATCCGCAAGACAGACAGAAAACACTCGGGGAAATATGATCTTCAGGTGCAGATTGAGAATGTGGAAGACACAGCAAGTGTCACACTGCAGGTTGTTGGTAAGCAGGAGCGAACACACATAGCATATTAGCTGTGGGTATTAACAACAACGAAAACAATCTCTAGCATTCATCGACCATGCAGTGGTTTTGCCAGTGGAAAGTTCAAATCATATTTCTCCACTGTAGATCTCCCAGGGCCCCCTGAGGCTCTAAAGATCATTGATGTCTGGGGTTTCAATGTGGCACTCGAGTGGAAGCCGCCAAAGGACAACGGTAACTGTGAAATAACTGGTTACACCATTCAGAAAGCTGACAAGAAGACCATGGTGAGACTCTACACCCTTGAGGGCCTTGCAACAAAGCTTACATCTGTTTTAATATTACATTCAATTGAAGCTTAAAACAAGATTCTTATGTTGATGGTGGGCAATTATCTTCAAATTAAATCACTTTTACCGCAATTAGCCAGATGTAAACCTTCTTGAACCAAATGTAGATAAACTAATTTTCCAAGAAAAGAGACCAAATCTGAATGGGCCCAGAAGACTGTCAGACAGATTCAAACACTGGCTGCCACTGTTGGTGGTAACATCTGGTCTTGATTATTTGGTACCACTATGATCCATCTTGGGTCCGAATCTGAATACATTTCAGCATCTTCTTTCCAAGTTAATTTGTTGACTTTGTCTCCATCCTTCTGGTGGTCACATACTAAATCTTTTTAGTTTACTTTTTGACCACCTGCTCTCGCCCGCAACAAAGTTAAAACCACTCTGCTCCCGCGAGATTTGCCCTGGGTCTTGTGGGAACTGATCCCAGTGCAGTCCTCTACTACCCATACCAATGAAATTGAAAGTCATTTGGGCCAGGCCGAACTCCGGTCTCGAGTCCAGAGGTCTTCTTAGAGGACAGCGATGGTCGCCATGTCATTATAGCTCATAGCTTCTTGTTCACTGAAACTGATCCATTGCAGGCATTTAGTCTCTATTAGCATGAATGAGTGTCTGGGTACATGTGGTAGGATGAATGCTGCATGGACACAGAGGGATATTTTAGCGTCCCTTGTGACACATATATGCTGTAATCAGCCAATGCTGAGCACGCAGTCTCTTCTGTGGGCCAGGAGTGATGCATTATGGGCCTGTTGGCAAGAACTCCAACTGGCACCATCCTCCACCTCGAGCTGCCAGGAACAATGTCGGCCAGGAATGTCCTAATCTGATCCTCGTAGCCTTGACCTGGTCCGGATTGTCTGCACAGTGACGCAGGGCCATTGTTCTCCTGCCCAGCTCGGCTGATGGTTCATGTTTCACTGTAGTCATTATTAGATCAAATTAATTTCACATGCATCTCTTTATAGCAAGCACGGGGATGTTGATTATCATGTTACCAATAACAATATACTGTGTACCTGATAGATGTCAGACATAAAAGTGGATAAATATAAAAGTGCTGAGGGCACATGTAGTTTAAATCTACCCATATCCTATTTCATTCTTGTACCTTGATAAATACATTTAACCTAAGAGCAATCACACACACAGCTCCTTTAGTTTCACGTGGATTACGATGGTATTTTGAAATCAAATCAGTTATATCTCATTATTGTAGGAATTTATTTGCCATATTTGAATGAATAAATATAATTTTTCTGAGTACAAACAATATCAATTTATCAGGGTGTCCACAGTTCAATAAACTGAATTTCAGGCCTTTAATTGTTTTAAATATGAAGTTAAACATGTATTGGATTAATTAGGTTAAAAATACATGTATAAAGTAGCATTTTCCAGTCTCGCTTTAAATGTGTTTTTGGAATTTTTTTAAAAATGTTGTATTGATCATTTCTGAAACTCTACCGGAGGGATGAACACGAAAATATTCCCTCATTTGGTGTTTTGATGACACAGAGTGCTGCTAAACACATCAATATAAAATCTATTACTTACAGACAGACCCTTTGACAACATCTGGAAGCCTATCTGGATAAGGCTACCATCCATTTAGAGGACATGGGAATGTGGGTGGGAGGGGTTAATGGATGTGGGATTGGCTAGGAGTTAAGAGAAGCGAAGGTGGGTTTGTGTTCTTGTTCTAGTTCAGGTGTCAGGTTTCTTCAGGTCTGTCAAATCAGAGACCAGTCCAATCCGATATCCTAGATATTGCCACTGTTTACTGCTCACAATACTGGTGTAAAACCAATAAAACGATTTATAAAGAAAGACAAAAATAAGTTGGGTTGAGATCAACTTTGAAGACCACAGCACAGGATTCACATCAAGTCATTGAGTGACCCCCTCATGTCCTGTATGGAAGCATTCATTATGTATTTTGTTTTAATTTAACTGTCTACTTGTACAACATAAATTATATATTGAATTGGAAAAACTAAATCTGAAACATTTTTGTGTGATTCATGTGAAGGAGTGGTATACAGTCTACGAACAGTACAGGCGAACCCACAGCGTCGTGTCTGACCTCATCATGGGGAATGAGTACATCTTCAGAGTCTTTGCCATCAATCTGGTGGGCCTCAGCCCCGAGCCCTGCACCACGAAAGACAGCGCTTACATCCAGAAAACAGGTGGGTCCCGACTGCACATACACATTTAGTACCACACAGTTATGATGTCCTGCAAGTATAGATGTTGGATGTGAAATTGGAGTAGTCGTCATAAATGCAGAAGAAAATTGTGCCTGTCTCCTCAGGTATTGCGTACAAGCCGCCCTCCCACAAGGAACATGACTTCTCAGAGGCTCCGAAGTTCACGCATCCTTTGGTGAACCGGTCGGTCATAGCGGGATACAACGCCACCTTGAGCTGCTCAGTCAGAGGAATACCGAAGGTCAGTTTAGGTCATTACATGAAAATGTGCATGAGAAGGTATTTGTGATCAAATTCAATCACAGAAACAAAAAAAATGGATGTGATCAATTGTCAATTTATTATTTTTTTTAATCATTTTTATTGTAAAAAAATTTATTTAGGGGGAGATATTTTGACCAAGCTACTCAAGGTCCATCTTATAGTTTTTTTCCAGAGCTTTCAACCATAAATAAACTTCACTCTTGACATTTGGAATAGCAGAACAATCCAAACTAAAGATCCACTCACTGAGTTTTCAACCATACAGTTTCATGCAGACATTTGGGAGATTAGTAGCAAGTAATAAACTCTCCATCCTCAGTGAAACAGCATCCACTGCATAAATCTAGGGATTATTATTATTGCAGATTGTGTAAAATATCACCTGACATACTGTAACACTCTGTCCCGCCTTGTTAGCCCAAAGTGACCTGGTACAAAAACAAGATGGACATCTCAAATGAAGCAAAGTACCGTATGCTCAGTAAGCAAGGTGTTCTGACGCTGGAGATCCGTAAGCCTTGTCTGTTCGATGGGGGAGTGTATACGTGCAAAGCAGTCAACGACAGCGGAGAAGACGTAGTAGAGTGTAAACTGGAGGTTCGCCGTAAGTATCCGAGAGGGTGTCTTTTAGGTCATTGTTTTGTTTTTTGAGTGTTTTGATTCACTGTCACTGCTCTCATAGCTCAGCACCAAACGGCAGACACAGTTAACAACTAGCTGATGAACATAATGGAGCATTTAGCAGCTAAAGAGCCAGATATTCCCCTCAGGAGTTGGAGGAGACCCAAAACAGAGCTGAAAGAGAGTGAATATTGCTCTATGGCAGCTGGATGTGTAAATAGGTTTGCTAACGTGTTTTAGAAAAGCAGATGATAATATGTCACACCTTGTTTCTGCTGCCCCCAAGTGGAAAAAAAATCAGTTCTATCTGTTGCAGGTTTAAGTCAAAATACAAAATAGTGACACTATGTAGTTTGTATTTGCTTTTGAAAAATGTTAAACTAATTTAATTCTTATCTTCCTGGCTTACAGCTCAGATTTTTAAAGAAGAAAAGAAAGAGGAAAAGAAAGAAAAGAAGTGAGAAGTTCGAGCTGCTGACCGAAGAGAAGATCGATTTCTCTCCAGTGGCTCCTGCATGTTGACTGTTTGTGTCATGATAAACTCTTCACCTGCATCACAAACTGTGTTTAGCTTTTTTTCTCTTTTGTTTTTGCACCTCTCTCCTCTCCTGCAACCATCTTACATCTGTTCATCCTCACTGCTACGTTTAGTATCATGTAACACCGATTACTGAACCGACTGGGTCTCATGCTTGCATTTGCTGTTATGTGTTATTTAATATGTAATAATTCATGGTTTGTCTCTCTATTCTACAGTCAAAAGAAAGTAGCAATATTTATGAAAATGACTTACCTCTCCTAATCAGCCGATAGACAGGAAATGGGTTAAAGTGTTTGGATTTGTTTGAGTGCTTACAAAGTTCAATATAAATGCTTCAACAACACAAGAGTGAGTGATTTCATTCATTTATATTATCAAGTAATGCCATTATGCCAAAGTAAAAGTAATGGCGCGCAGGTGGAGGCCAGTTTCCCAAATTGCCATCATGGTAGCTATAACTGTCGTGGTATTCAGAAAACGCAAAAAGCATGCCACTGATACTGAGAAGTCCAGTGGAATGGACAAGAGTTGTCGGGGGCTTAGTTTTATTGTAACAAAGCCTCGCTAAAGCCAGAGGTGTAAGGCATGTGCCTAATGTGCACGCCACAGAGGGATGTGTATGAAGGGCTGGAATAGCTGAGATGTCCTTTTACACTGAGGACAAGTGTCAGTGAAGTGGAACACATGGCGGGGTTCGTCAAGTGGGAGCTGCTGTAACATCACTCGACAGTTATTCCTTTGATGCCTCGAATGTAAATTCCGTGTTTGCCAGGTGTTTTGACGTGGGGTTTTCACCAAAATCCACAAATTACAAGTGAAAAGGCTACACGGTTCAAAGCCAAACAGGACGCATCAAATTTCACGTCTGTTTCTTTATACAGTCCCAGAGGTTATTTTTCGCTCATCACCAAGTAACAGCTCACTACTCGAGTGACGGGAGCCAGCAGTGGTGGACAACGTGACTTGTAGCTGGAGGCGAAGGGAAAGTCCACTGAATGGCAGAAATTGCCTCATACATGTTGACTGACTCGGAAATGTCTACATTTAGACAATTTCACCCCTAAATTGTGTTTGCATGGGCAACTTCAACTGGTAAACAAGACCAAGTCTATAGCTAGCTCTGTGAGCAATGGTGGGGGAAGTACTCGGATCTTTTACTTAAGTAACAATGTAGAAATACTCTGTTACGAGTTAAAGTCATGTAGTCGTAATGTTACTTATACATTACACTTTATTATTTTCAATAGTGTTCAATTAGCACTGAACACAAAGTGCAGCTGAGGCTGTTGGGAATGTCATTAGTTTTGTAGCTATTTTATCATCCACCCAAGTGTTTTGTCCTTATGATGGCGCTAGATGCAAAGTTAAGGAATCACCAACGTTATTAGAATTTCTCCTGGAGGTGGCATGAAGGTGTGTACCAAATTTCATGGCAACCAACCCAATTGTTGAGATAGTTAATTCAAAACCACGAATGTCAACTTCCTGATGGTGCAAAAGGAAAAGTTATGGGTTCACCAAAGTCATTAGGATACATCGTCTGGGAACCATGAATGTCTGTGCCAATTTTCCGCCCAATCTCTCTGGTGTATGTTGAGATATTTCATGGGATAATGTTAAACTTTGACTTCATGGTGGCGCTAGAGGGAAAGCCAGGATTATTGGTTCATCCTCTGGGGACCATAATGTCTGTGCAAAGGTTTATAGCAATTCATCCAATAGTTGTTGAGATATTCAGTTTGGACCAAAGTAATGGGCCGACCGACATTGATATCTGTTATGCCTAAAAATTACTTCTTGGGACATTTTTCTGAGCAGAAATGAGACATTTTGTTGTCTTTACTGCCAACTGAGTTCGCACAATCTCTCTTTAGTGGCTGGACTACTTGATGGTACTTAGTTTGGAGTATGAATCACACATTTGGCAAGAAGACTGTTAGTCGTGACGGAGTTCAAACGAGGATTCAAACAGTGCTGGAAGACACTTCCAGCACTGTGCAAACATGATCACATAGGGTCTGTCAGACTGATCCGTCAGAGTTCAATGAGGAACCCGTCTGGGAGAAAAAAATGTAGGATTAGAGTCGATATTTCCATTTTCAGGGGATCTTACCTTTCTATGACACATTGCACTGAACATCATTTTCTTTAGTCTCAAAAATCAATCTACGCAGCAACTTAAAACAAAGCAAAGCTGCATTTGAAAGACAGGTGTGGTATACAATGGTCACTGCAGTGTTTTAATTTTTAACACAAAGGTAAATAAAAAGGCTTGTGTTCTTCCAATTTTATTCATTCACAATTTATAGAATTATTTTTCTACTTGAACAGAATAAAACAACTTGGGGAGATCTCACATAAGAAAAACAAAAAGCAAACTACAAATAAGATTTAATCTGAACTGAAATTAAGTGAGATTCTTTTATTATCTGTATTATTTTGCAAGTTTGTATCTATAAAAGATAGAACAAAAATTTCATAGTTTATAGTTTGGTTAAAAATAAAAAATAAAAATCACAGTATACAGTACATAGATTCCTCCCACAAATTTGCACGTATCTAAAATGATATACAACCACGTGTGTCAACATGAAGCCAAGAAGGCAAAGAATAACAAACGAAAACAGACTTTTCTTTTACAAAGCACTGCTGGCAGCCACTACAGTCGAGGAGGTAGCTTCCTTAGTTAGCATTCCATTCTTGATTACTTGTTTACTTTTCAAATAATTTACATACAAATACAAAAAACCAATAACCAAACTACTAAAAGATTTGTACATTTTCACCAGATGGGACATTAGACACCTCAAACAATCAACGGACATTTTGGTTAGTGTAAAAATGTTCACACCCGGTCAAGACGACGTCTACATGAAAACAGAAAATATAGTCCAGAAGATTAAAATTAAATGGCGCATTATTATAAAGGACACGAGTGTTTTGTTGGTGGAAGAAAACATTTCCCTACATTGCCTAAATTCCTGAGCACTCACATGACGTGCACTTGTGGATACATGCTCCGAGGGTGTATCCACCTTAATGTGTACAGTCATGCTCCAGCACACCAAACATCAGTCAATCCCTCGTCACACTCAGTCTCACTCGGGTCAGCTCTCAGGGTGAAACGAGATCTACGTTAATATACTTTACAATATAATAATGCTCTGATTACCTTTTACAACAGGACTGGGTTGTACAGACTGAAGTGAGTGTTTGAGTCACTGGCTGATAATGTAACTGGATTGAAAAGACACTGGAGGCAGTGAATTAGTTTAAAGATAATTCCTCTTATTTTCAACACAGGACTTATTTTCCGACTTTTTGTACCATCACGTCCATTTATATTCTGGTCAAAACTTTGCCAATGACTTCGCTGTAGAGCTCCAAGTACCTCAACAGGTACACAGACTGCTCATGTGCATGCACACGTACACACACAGAGAAAAAGAAAATCCTTTAATTTCAAAAACACACTGCAGATACTTGTCTTTAAGTATCTGTTGTTGAATAATGATCACCCACATTTCAATTACAATGGTCCATTTCATACATTTTGGCACCGCTTATACAAGTTCTTGTTGACTCAGCTGGCTGCCAGTCTTGTGCTGCGTTTACATCATGTTGGAATAAGTGGAAGAGTGGGATTACGTTCACGTGTTTAACTTGGACGGTATTCATGTGTTTAACCTGTTGCTCACAAGCCAAATTATGTTTAATGGCGATTAAATCAACCGGAAACGTACGTCGGCCATCACTCTAGTCCTCAAGTCCAAATAGTGTGAATATAATTGATTTACAGTTTTTGTATTTCCAGTTATTAAAACTACAGTTATTTACATTTGTGGGGCAAAATAGAACCAAAGTTTACCGCTGTCATATCTGTACGCAGATTATGGTGCTACAGCCAGCAGCCACTTAACGTAGCTTAGCATGAGGTCTGGAAACATGAAACAGCCTTACTTTGTCCGAGGGTCCGAACATAATCCATACATATATATATACACATATATACATATATATATACATACAACTAGCTGCTGACTGTAACTTCATAGTAAGTGTACTGAAATGTGATAAGTGGTATTGCAAATAAGCATATTCCATATTCCCAAAATGTTGAATTATGCTTTTGATCGAAACTTTTACAGGATGCACTCATTTTAAACAGTTTATGCTAAAAACACAATATATTCAACAAAGACATTAGTCAACAAATGTTCTGTCAGCCAAAAATAATCTAAACTTCAGATAAAAGCGGTTCTCATTTAAGTGTTGTTGTACTGAAAAGGAAATGTCTGTAATTTTGTTAAGTTTGATGTGTCTTTTGGCCCACTGACAAACAGAATATGTAGCTCTGCAGTTCAGAAAAGACGTTTGATCCAAATAAAACAGCATGATGGCAAAAACTCAGAAAAAGGGGCCCAGATTTAAAAATAACTGGAATTATCTTTCAGACTAATGAAAATAATGACCTAGACCTAAAGTACGTGTGTACTAGTATTGTGAAGAATTAAAAGAGGTGCTGTTGTTGTAGTGAATGCTTGGGCTGTATTGTATATTCATCATTCAAAGGCCACCGTTCATACAGCTGAAATAGTCTCCACCCCGACACTCCTGCTGCTCAAACAATAAATAACATCTTTACCACCACCAAGCATAGTTGTTGCTAAAACAGTGACATCTGCTACTTTTATCACATTCTTAGTCTTAGTAACTTAAATCGAAGTGTTTTTTTCATTATAGACTGGCATTTACTTATACCGTTCTCACACTGATAGATTATGATCACAGGCGGGTAGGGCAGAAGTTATTGCTGACGATATATTATTCCCCTCTGGTGTGTGAAGACCACCTGAAAGTTACATTCACACAGAAAAGTCTAGGATGATTATTACATTTGCTACATTTATGTAAAAAAAAAAAAAAAAAAAAAAATCAACAGTATAAAATCAACAGTTTCTGTGGCGAAGCTTTAAACATTGACAAGATAATTAAAAATTAAAAAGCTTATAAGTACAGGTGAAACAGAGAAATCACAACATTTCTGACATGTACACCAATCAAAAGCAAGAGGCAGGCACTGGTGGCAAGACTTATTTTTGCAAGCTCCTTTGTCAACCAGTTTCTAACAGGATGTGCTCAGTTCAGCTCACTTGGAAATGGTCTCTAAGTTCAAAAAGCATACCAAGTTCCCTTTAAATGATTGGTTGCATCTCTGTTTACACAGTAATTACAAACATAAGTGCTTGCTGAATAGTCATTTACCAGGGTAGTTGGCACATTTTGTTTTATATAAAAATGTTTACATATTCTCGTAGCATCTAAATTCACATGACAGAGAGATCTGTGCACACAGACGTACTGGCGCTCTGAAGCGTCCTTAGTCCTTGACTCGAGGTATGTTGTATGAGTAGTGTACCAGAGGAAGGCCTCTGCTCTGACAGAAGCAGGCTCTGCCACAGGCCTGAACCTGGTCTGAGCTGTCCGACACAAACGAGTCCCCCTCGTCTGCGTACTCAGACTGAGCCGACGGTGTGCCGCTGTCTGCCCAAAACCCCTCGGCGCGCTGGCAAACTGCAGCGCCCGCCAGGAGGGTGGGACAGCTGTGAGACTTCACCAAGTGTCTACAGACTGTGGAGGACGAGGGAGAAGAGCAGGTCCTGGCATGCAGCGCTGCCTCGCACTGCTCGCATACAACTGTCTCTCCACAAAGCTGTGAGTACACCCCACAGTCAAAGCCCAGGTGAGTGGAAGAACCTCCGTCCGTGAGCTCCGACCCTCCGCCACCATCGTCCCTGTGACTTTCGGCGCCGGCCTTCACCTCCCTGGTCAAACCTCCGCGGCCGCGCAGTCTGAGCCAGTCCTCCCTGAAGGCCGGGCTGAAGAACACATACAGCACTGGGTTCAGGCACGCAGGCAGCGGGAAGAAAATGAGGGTGACAGATTTGGCAATCTCTGGGCCACCGGCCGTAGAGCCAGTCAACAGAGGGGCGAAGGAGAAAGCTGCCACAGGGCAGAAGAAGATGCAGTTGGTGAAGATGAGCCAGGCTACGTGTCGCAGGGCACCCGTCTGCTCTGGATCTGCCAGTTCCACCCGGCCCAGGTGGCAGTACAGCTGGGTGTACACGGCTGCAGTGAACAAGTAAGCCAGAGCGTTGAGCAGCACCAGAACAACCGTAACACTCAAAGCTGGACTCTCACCACCGGCAAAGGGCAGGCAGAGAGGGGAGGTGGACTGGTCGCTGGAGGTCAGGAGAGGCAGGCAGGCTCCAGCAGCAGCCAGCAGCCCCAGCAGTCCTGCGGCCAGGGTGAAACGCCGATCTCCTCTCCAGCATCCACGATGGCTGCCGCCGTTCCTCCTGGGTGACATCATGACCTTCCCGAGAATCGCCCGCACGGCCACGCTGCGCTCCACCGCCGCCAGTGAGAGTAACAAGACGGCCCACTCTGACGAGAAGACGGCTAGAGCTCCTGTGATCTGACAGCCAGGTCCCATCTCCCACCACACACCAAACTCGGCGAAAGAGCCCCAGGTAGCGATGTCGAGCACGGTCAGCACGCCAACATACAGGCCTGTGAGCAGGTTGGCCAGGGCCAGTAGCCCCATGAGCAGCCTGGCTGGAGACAGAGACGGGGTGAGGGAGTGGAAATGGCCTGCTGCTCGGTGTGTGGGGGAGAAGGTGGCCACCAGCACCAGGCTGTTAAAGACCAGCGACACCAGGCAGATGAACCAGACTGTCAGACGAATCATCCAGTTACCCAGCAGGTGCTCACAAGGCTTGAAGGCTCCTGAAGACAGAAACAATGGTGATTAAGTTAACACTCAATTTAGCAGTTTAGTTTTTAGATGATCTGAAAGCTCTTCAACATCGATTGGGAAAAGTAAACACAGACACATTATGAAAATGTAACTGTTTGACGCTCACCTGGTGAAGGAGAGCAATGCATAATCATTGAGATTCTTTCCACATCCTCTCCGCCTAAAATTCAACATATAATGTAAGAAACACAAATGTTAAAAAGGCAGTCTTAATCCAATATAGTAGCCTTGCTAAAGAAAGTAGTCAGATGTATACAGTTGGAAATATGTTAACAACTGCTTCTGTTTTACTTTCCAAATTGTTGTTTCTGCTGTATAATAATCACCAATGGTTAAAGTAAATTACTACAAACTTAACTGTCTAAGAAAATAAATATCATCGCCCAGAACCTGAAATTCATTTTCTGTTACTATGCCATGGTGTTAAACTAAAATGTTATTTAAATATCATACAGTAAAAACACATATAGTAAAGTAGTTTTATTTAAGTACCGACTGAAGCATCTGAATCACATAAATGTGCACAGACGTGCACACAAAATACACACCTTTTCTAAATGTAGGTCAGTATTTAATAATAGTCATTTTGTCAAAGTTATTTTAATGTTGATGTCTGATGCACAAAGAGATACATCTGCGCCACACAATGTGCAAACTGTTTAAAAAACTTCTAATCTAATGCCAGAGTGAGTTAAATTTAAAAAAGCAAAACCTTTATATCTTACATCTACATCTGGTGGTCTGGAAATAAAGAACGCTGTTAGTATGCACACGTAGCTGGAGGCTTATGTATAACAATCTCTGTCAATATTTTTAGTTACTTGTATGTAAATAAAACAAAAAAGTTTAGCCAACATGTCAACTGTTCCAAGGAAAGGGTTCTGACTGCGGGATTCCCACCTGTAGATTTCTTTACGTCGTTTTCCTCAGAAGAACTCGTCATTGAGTCACATCCAACAAATGCACAGCACTGGTAGGCATAAGGGACAGAGATGGACCTACAAACAAACAATAATCATTGAGAAAGGTTGTCAACATCCTGCTTGTGTTAATGATAATAATAATAATAATAATAATACAGATGGTCCAGAATCATAATACCATATTAGGAAAAGTATAAATAATGTGTTTGTCCGCAAATATTTGGCCCTTCTGATTTTTTTCAATAATATTTGGATGTTTCCATAGTGTGTCGACAATTGTGGAGAAAACAGATTCAGCTGGCTTTCTCATTCAACGCACGAGAGGAGGTGCAGTTTGTTTCAGTTTTTCCGTCAGTCTGTCACAGACGCGTAATCATAACAGATGGAGAAAGACGTAATAAGAGAGTATATATTATAAATTGTGTTATAACACTTTCTGTTCTCCACAGGATGATTCCAATTTAACACTGCACTCTTAGCCATTGTTAACATCCTAAGAAACTTCCCAGGAAAGTATTTTCTGACTGACTGTATCCCTGCCTTTACAATTTAGGTGGTAAAATTATAAGACGCAATAAGTAAGTAAGTAATACATTTAAAATCAGTATATTTATAAAATGCAGACATGTTTTTCCCCTTTTTCACAAACAAAAGGTGCGGAAAATAATAATACACCAGTACCAGAGAGGACCCTTTTCCAGAAAATGTATCTTTAGATATTGGCAGTATCTGTGTCTACTTTAATAAGGCATGTAACATGTTACAAAGGTTCCTGGCTAGAATCGAACATGGGACGTTGCACTTACATAGTCGGCACCAGCAGCCACAAAACCGCCTGTTGTTAAATGTTTCTACCTTGTCGTCTCAACTTCAAAAAACATAACTTGACAGGAGACCACAGAAGTTTTTTCTCACCTGAGTTTAGGCAGGTTTTTCGCAGTCAGCACATTTTTCATCTGCGGGTTCCCTGAGAGCTTCAACTGACTGAGCACGCTCAGCCCCGTTGTTGGAATCACAGTCAGGGAGTTCATACTGAGATCTCTGCAAACAATGATCACACGTAGTTTAATCCTGTACATTGCAGACAGTCAAACCAAAGGCTGATGTGTAGCTTGAGGTCTGTGCTCACTACGATGTAAGCTGGTAAAATAATACACAGGTCATACTCACAGGTTGGTGAGTGCGGTGAGGGTGAGGAAAGCGTCTCTGTGGATAACTCGGATTTCATTTCTACTCAGGTCTCTGTGTCAAATCACAACACAATCAACTCACAATCGGGCATAAAACATTTATTTTGATAGCGTCCAGTGTGTGTTACTGTGGGTGTTTCTGAGCGAACTTACAGTAAACGGAGAGAAGAGAGACCTTGGAAAGTGTCCCTGTCGATTTGTTGAATATGGTTGTGCTGAAAGCTTCTGCAGATTTAAAAGGATAATTTAACAGATTAAGAAGCAAATAATTACCTTTATTGTCTTAATTATTTATTATTACATAAATCTTAAGACAGAATCTATTGTTTGGGCTTTGCTATACTTAAATTATTTGAGAACTGATTTCTCAATGTTCAACACTCACATCTCCTGCAGTTGGACGCAGCCCTGGAAGGATGGTAGCTCCTTGATCTCATTGTAAGACAGGTCTCTGATGGAGGAAAACAAACAGCAACAATTAGACAACTGGGATCATTTAAAATCAAAGAATTAAGAGTGAATGAAAGTTGGATTTTTAGTCATATACCATTCAAGAATTGGTCTATAAACAATTTCTCTATACCTCAGTGTGTAGACTTTTCTAAAATGCCACAGTTTTAGCATGAATGGGAATCCAAATTCTGTCTGTAACTGTTAAAAACCATCAAACTATACTGGGACAATTTCTGATTATTTGTAGAAGACATGTTTTAAGTGCTACTGCAGGTAACAGGAAAGGAAAGGTCTCTCACAGCGTCCGAAGCAACTTCAGATCCTCACAAAGATCAGCGGGGATAGATGATATCTTGGTTCCCGACAGGGTCCTGGAAATGGAAAAACCTCATCTGTCACTTCTGAGACACACAAAAGCTCAAGCAAGAACAGATGCTTCATCCAAGTTCACTCACAGACTCTCAAGGTTGTTAGTCCATGTAAGGATGGGAAAGTCCTGCATCATGCTGGCCCCGCGCAACATCCTGAAACACACATGGTGAGGAATAGTGAAATAATACACATCAAAGCATGTTGGTATGGATGAAACAAGGACTCTTCAAAACACACTTAAATTGCTTTTTTGTCAGGAGTCATGCCTGACAGCGGGACTTACAGGGAGTGCAGGTCAGACAGATTCTGGAAAGCTGAAGCACCCACGAAGGACAGGGGGTTGTCATAAAGATGTCTGGGAGGGCAGCGAGAGCAGAGGGGGAGAGTTCAAAGCGAAATTATTTACTATGCGAGAATGGCACCATCTTCTGGACATTCATCTACTGAAGACTCACTCGTATCACGTATCAGCTAATGCTGTATGCATGCTTCTCAGAAAGCATACTGTACATTGTGCATTGTGCAAATTTGAATTATTAGTGTACTATGTCTGCTTCTTAGTAGTGTCAGTGAATCAGAGTTTGACTTTACATGGTTCGCAGCAGAGGGTTGTTATGGAAGGCCCCTTCAGGTATGGAAGCAATATCGTTGCTGTGAAACCCCCTGCAGGAAGAATGTCAGGGAGACAGCGTAAAGACACTTTGCTATGTGAAATCCAACATATGTTAAGTTGAAATAAAAATGACAAATGAAATAACATACAAAAAGGCATTGACAGTTCCAGTTCAGTTCCTTTAAATGATTAATCATCAGGAAATAAGACTATTCAATAAAGCACGTCGCAACATGTTGCAAAAGATTTAAACTAATTTGTTTCACTTTAATCAATCATCACATCTACTAGATAAGAGCCCAGACAGATAATTATGTAATAATAATACTATAATAAATAGGATATGTGTCCTTTTTTTACCTGAGGTGTCTGTATGAAAATAGGAATTTTAAAACCACTCAAGATTTGTATTCAAACAATTCACTGAGACTTATGAAAAATTAGGGCAGGTTACTAATGTTTTTCTACTTTGCATGTGTGCTCTAGTTTTCCTCTTATTTAGTTCATAGTGACGTTGTTGGGTCCTTGAATTTAGTGCCGGTACAAAATGTTTCCCTCATGGAGCAGACACAGGACGATGTACTCACAGTTCCTTGAGTTTGGGCAGGGCTTCTATTGCTTTGGGAAAAACCATCAGGTTGTTGAAGTTAAGATCTCTAGGATGAGACAGAGAGAGACACACAGGAAGTCAGCACTGTATTATCCTTCCACTTTGCAGTAACAAATCCATCTCTCTAAAACACATTCATTTACATTAAAAGTACAGTCAAACAAAAATGTTTACAGTTAAACATTCTCTCTGTGACTGCTGTCAGTACCAAGTCACACACTAATTATTAATACCTAGGATTACTAGTATTTTTATAGTCTATGTAGTATGATTAACTACATACAAAACAGAGTAAAACAGCAAATCCTCACATTTGAGAAACCAGAATAGGCAAATGTTTGGCATTTTTGCTTGATAAATGACATAAATGATAATCCATCATAGTGATATTAAGATTTCTGGCAGTTTACCAGTATTTTTTCCTTTTGCATGACTCGGCCTTATAGTTTTATAGTGGCTTATTCTACTGTCAGGAGGGTTACACAGAATATAAAAACATTTTAATGCCATTGTGGGTGTGCAGAAAGTAAAACATTTATATTGTGGAAACTGCAAAAAATAAAAAAGGATTCCCAACAACATTGCTTTCTTTTCAAGACAAAATATTTAAAAATAGTTGCATAAACTGACATAAAATGCTGACATATACAGTATAAGAGATATTTCTCAAATGTTCTATTGCACAAGTAAGAAACAAATCAAATATCACTTAGCACCAATCCATCACTAATCAAAAAGGGGTTGTCGTTGTAGCAAAACATGAAGCAACACAAGCAGGCCGGCAAATTTAATTATACAGTACCCACACTGACAGCAAAATAGGTTTTTAACCTGTTTTGTGTTAAATGCCTCTGGAGTGCTGCTGTAAAACTGCATTTGACCGCCAGTATTTTGTTCATGTTAGCAACGTTTGGAGCCTAAATCTTTACCAAACCTTCCTGTCACAGCAACTCAACCTCCTCTCTCCACAGATTTGATACAAAACACAACAGAACGCCATAGGCTATAAAACACCATTGTAAACCATTGCAGAAAAGCCATAATACAGGACTGTATCCCTGCCTTTACTAATTTGTGGCTACATGTGCAGTGTGCTTTGTTATTACATTAGAAAATGTAAATACTGGCTCAACCTGAGTACCTGCAGATATTTTAAATGTTTCAGATTGAGATTCAGAACAAAAAAGTACCAGGACATCCCTAGTACCCTGTAAAGGTCTGTGTGTTGCATAGTAGCGGTTTGCCATTAGGTAAGGCTTGTCACTAAAATATTTTTCATAGCTGTGTGGCAGGAGGAAGTGAACAGTGGGAGGGCAGATTTGATAACCATCATGTACTTTGCTCTATTTATCCTAGAGCAATTAAAGGAGGAAGTGGACACAATGATGTCTGGAGGACTGGAGCAGAGGTGGGTGGGGGAGCTGTTAGCACACACAAACACGAGCACAAACACACTCAAACTGACACACACACACACACACACACACACACACACACACACACACACGTCAACTACTGTATGACTATGCACTTACAGTGTCTCCAGGTTCACAAGTCCAGCAAAACAGTTATCTCCTATCTCCTTAATTCTGTTGTTATGGAGATGCCTGGAAAATCAAAAGCCGTTTTAAACAGACATATATATTCATATATTTTAAACCATGACTACAGAAAATAATCTTTCACATTCATCCAGTGTCGTTGTGCAGCTTTTGTTAAAATTACCATAAATAATTTAAAGACAGAGTGCGTTTTCAGAATCAGGTGTCGGTACTGTATGTGTATATGCAGAAGGCTTTCCTTGCCTAATAGATTCAAGGTCTTTTCTTCCTGTTTATCCTGACGTGTTTATACTAACCCTGCAGCAATACCACTCAGTGTGTGTGTCTGTGTGTGTGTGCGCGCTTGTGTGAATGTATAACAGCAACATGTTTGCAACAATCCCTCAGATTCGTAATGCACAGCATATTGGTAAGTTCCTCTTGTTGAAGGTTTTAGCATTTTCCACAATGCATAAAACAACAGGATAATCTTGATTTTAGCAGTGCCATTAACATTCAAATTCAAACCCCAAAGGCACAGTTCACTGCAAAAGTGCTTGCATGCAAAAAAAAAAAAAGCAGAGCATGAGCAGCAACCCATTTTGTTGACTTATTAACTGTAAGCAGTGGAAATAAATACTACAGTATGTTTGTGTTTGGAATCTGATTTGCAGTCGCTCGGAGGAAACATTCAGAGCTCAAGCAGAACATAAGGAGAGGTACTTTGCATTGATTTGTTGTGACAGAATAATGTAGATGATGTATGAAAAACTAAACAGGAATTACAGCTTTTTTAATTTAGAGGGGAGCACTAGCAGTACAGTGATATTTTACCAGCTGGATGGTAATTACACAGTCAGGTAGTTAGGAGATTTTCAAGTTAGTTAATTTGAGAAATTACCCCAAAAATTCCTAAACATGAATTTGAAAAACTCATTATACACCATGGCTCAGGAAGAGACATGAAAACTATTACTGTATAGTCACACTGCACAGAATTTGCATGTGTTGGCTTTCAACTTGAGAAATATCCTCATCTACTTCACACCCAGTGACTGTCACTCTTCAGCTACTCCCTCAGGTCATTTTAGTAAACATCATGTTCTCAGTCAGTGTGCCCTGGTTAATTATGGCTTTTAAAAAAGTAGACCAGCAGGTTGTTCCTGCTGACCTATTTAGTGTATAGGTCTATAAAGACTACATGCAAAGTTACCCTGGCTGTTGGTGACGTTTAAGGACTCTGAAACAGTTTATTTCTAAGATGTTGTAGCTTTTAAGAGACGTCTCACTAAAGCATTGATTGATAAAATGCCATGGTGTTTAATTGTCTAAATATGTTTCTAATGAATCCAGTCCCTGATGGTTTCTCAACATGGCAACCTATCCTTTTATAAATTTTGTCCTTCTGGGTATTTCTCAGTTTTGTTTAGTGGTGGGGTAAACCACCATACTGTATTTGATTCAGGTTTATATTGACTATGAATATATTATTTTTAGTGCACCTGAATTCAGCTCAGCATACACAGCTGAATACACTGGAGAGTTTGGTGCCTATGGTTTTTTTCATCCACCTTGCACATTGCGGCAAAACCTGATTGGTGAAGTATTGTGAAACAAATACAAACATTTTTACACTACTGCGTTGATTATTATCCTTAACCACAATATGAACAGTAGCTTAATATAACTTACAGCACAACTAGACTGGTGAGGTTTGCAAAGGCGTTGTCTGGTATGTATGAGATACGGTTGAGCGCCAACGTCAGAGCCTGAAGGTTCGCCTGGTGTCTCAGGGAACCGATGGGGACCTCCGTCAGGTTGTTATCGTCCAACCAGAGGTGGCGCAGCTGCTGAAGGCCTTCAAAACTGTCGTCTGGAACTGTAGTAATGTGGTTCGCATCCAGGCGACTGCACAACAGACACAAGGAAAATTATGTGTTAAATCAATGTAAGACAAAAACTAAGAAAAATCATACTAAATGTATTTTACAGATACCATATGAAGAACTTTTTAACTCAACTCCATCAATTTTATTGTCACTGTTCCAGGTCATGGTGGATTTGGGGTGAGCAAAGAAGCAAACAGCCTGTACCAGAAAGTTCTTCTTGGAGCCCCAAATCTATTGGTTGGATATGTGGAAGTTATTTACTTTTGGTCTCTACCTAAAAAGCAGGTAACCGCACACTAAGCTCCAATTATTTTATTTTATCAGCAATGTTTCAACCACCACTTGGTCTTTTTCATGGCATTGAAAGGAAGTTTTCTTCCTTCTTTCTTCTTTCTATGCACAGACCAGCACCTAATTTTGATGCACTCACCGGACAACTTGTGCTAACTCTTCCCAAATCAGCCACACACAGTGTACCACCAAAAACAGGAAGAAGCAGGAGTGCATTGAATTGCATTGAATCAGTCTTTTCATTGCAGAAGGGCAGAAGCTTGACTTCTAGATTCTGCTGGACTGCAAACTCTCCAGGACTCATCTGATTCTTTGGTCATTACCAACATCTTGTGACTTTAAGGTTTGAAAAAAGGCAGATTGGTAAAAATTAAAAAGGGCTTTACTCTGTGGCTCCACTCCCTGTTTGCAAGCACTGTCCAGTACAATGGCTGCATTATTGAAACCACTGCAATGGTCTAACTCACGGTCTTCTTTTACCCTCACTTCTGAGAAATACGGAAATACCTGAAAGGTCAACTCTCCATTCTTCAAATGAACGACACACATCATACTTCTAATTACCCCTAGGAGGATGACACAAAATGTTTATTTGGTTGCTGTGGTAAATCTGATATATATATAGTACTAGAGATCAGCGATCCTGCAAACTGATGTAATTCTAATCAGAAGCCAATAATTTTGTGGTAAAAACTGTAATATTATTTATTTAAGCAGTATTATGAATGCACAAGTGTTCTTTTCACCATCACCACACTGTTTTCTCCAGCTATCCTCCCTCACTGAGTGTCTCGCCCTCCCTCAAAATTCCTCAAGTGTCTGGGCTGGAAGGAAAACAGTCTTGATTGACATTTAGCTCTCTAAGGCTTTAAACAAACCAAGTCCTGGCTCTGCCAAAGCATATTACTTCAGCTACAGACCTTAAAATCCTCACAGAGAAAAGACATCTGTTAAATAGAAAGAAGAGAGGAAGGAAAAAAGAAGAGGGGAAGGAAGGGACAAGGGGAGGGATATAGAGGGGTGATAATAGCTGAAAGCTGGATTTTCAGCACGTTTCTCCAGCTGGATCCATTCCTCCATTAGTCCCTGTCAAACTCAAAGGCACAGTGCTGGAGGGGGGTGGCACAAATAGAGCTGTGTACATATTATGGTCTCAATGAAACTGACATTCAGTAGTTGCAAAAAACAATGCTAAGACTGAGGGCGAGAGAAGCAGGAAATTGCGAGAGGGCTGATAGTTACGAGTAAACACGTAGAAACACATAAGCTCCTGGAAAACCCAACAATCCAACATAAAAACAGAAATGTTAGCTACAGATCTGCTGAATAAGATTGACCTACATTTGCACAGGGCTATTGCTGGGCTTAGTGCACAACAAACACTGCAGCAGGAATAAAGTATGTGATATGAGTGGAACCGCCCCTAAATGACATCAACAAGGTCTCAACTGTTATGCAGTCACATATTAAACAGGAACATTTAAACAATCTTGGTGAACGACAGCTATCTGCCTGAATTTGGTACAGTTGAAGAGATTTGATGCTCAATGTGACTGGGTCTTTACCAGGAACTGTGGTGTAAGATGATGAGTACCAGTTTGACAAATTGTAACACAAAATATTTTTGCATTTCTAGTGTGATCTTTTGTTTTAAAAGTTCCAGTGTGTAACATTTAGGATGACAGAAATAGGACATACTGGTCCTTTAAATATAGCACAAATGAAATGTTTGCGTCAAGTGTATTTGTCATAAAGTCAGGATTTTTTTTAACAAGACAAAGAGTCAACAGACATTTTAGCAGCTCAGTGCACAGCGGTGTTTGAGCTAAATGCTTCTAGCATACATGCTGAAGTTTAGCATGTTAGTATGCTATCGTTTACTAATTTGCACGAAACACAAAGTACATTTTAAGTACTGAAACAATTAAAGGGCAGTCCATCCAATAGTTGTTCAGATGTTTCACTCAAAACCACAAATGTGAACCGCATGGTGGTGGCACTGGAGCCATCCTCTGGGCACGAATAAAAAATTCTATGGCAAACCAAAGTACTGATCTCAATTCTACACAAACCTTTAGTGCATCTAGTCCGTCGTTTCATTTTTGCATAAATTTGTTTGACAAATTTTCAGCACCAAACGTTTAGATCTTTACATACATTAATAGATAAACTTCTGCCGTACTCTTTATACTATCTTTTTGATGAACCGTCTAGAATGTGGTTGTTAGTTTGGCACAAACACTATGAATTCCACTTTGGATAGTCGGCTGTGTAAATACACTGCAGTGCTTTCTCTGACAACCGCACTGATGACTGCAGCGTATCTTCCTGTCCAGGAATTCAGGACAAAATAGGTTTCCCATCAACTGCAACTTCTTGAGAAAACAGCAGCTATTCATAAAACTCACTAATAGGGCTGGTGTGACATTTTGGTTTGAGACTAGCAGAGAGATTTCTTACATGTACCAGCACCACCTCTTCATCCAACAGCAGAAGAGACAACTCAAAAGAGACTGCTGCTGTACGTCCTCTCTCCCATGTTTGGCAGTTTAAAACTAATTGAAACTACATTAATCCAACAAAATATCTGACCAGTGCGGGGACACTGACAAAGTATCATTATAGTCTCTGCTGAGTGTTTCCCTAATACAATGAATAAAAGGAATACAGAAAGGCACACTTGAAATTCAAAGGCTCTCTGAGTAGACAATACCGCACACATGCGTATGCATGCATATAAGCGTATGCATATAAGTGTGTGTGTGTGTGTGTGTGTGTGTGTGTGTGAGAGAGACTTACAGAGACTGTAGAGAATGAAGGTTCTTCAGGGCTGCACTGGGCACAGTCTTGAGTTGATTATTCTGGAGCATGCTGAAGGTAAAATGGTAAAATTATGATTTCAACTTAACTCACAACACTTCTACATTCAGTGCTAACTATGTGACTGAGCTTTCTGAAGGTCTTCTCTGTGTTGTTGTTAATGTGGATCCATGCTGGTTACGGTCATTCCCTTTGGAAGAGAAACATGCTTCATGGAGTTTAATTCTTCCTGTCTTAATGTTTGCAAACGGAAACAAATACAGACAGACTCACAAACAACACATCACTTTATTTAGACTTAATTCTGTGAGTCTTTGGTTCATTAGAAGCATGTAAATGTGTGTATGCTTGTATAGTTACAGTATTTGTAAAAACGGACCCAAATCTGATGTGAATAGGGGTTTGTTAGAGCTACATGTAGTAAAAAAGTGTTTTCACTGGAGTAGTTTTAAGTACTGGAACAATGTGAATGAATCACTTGATATAATAAGTGTATTTAATGCCGCCATCTGTTTGTGTTTTCAGTCCTGTAACCAAGACCTCACCTGTAGATCAACAGAACTTTGAACTTTTGGCCTGGTGCAGGATTGACAGTGCAGCGCTTTGTGTGTCGCTTAATGTGTTCGAGTTTGTGCAAGCGCACTAGGGTGTGCTGCCCAATGTAAATTAAGCAGAACTAATTTTTACTCAGGGCTTGAATGCAATGCTCTGTTAGGGGTTTTCACAGCCACTGATACTGTTGAGGCAGGGTTGGAAAAGAGCATTTTGTCTATTCGAAGGAAATGTAAATTCTACAACTATGCTTAGAGTGGCAATAACTGACAGCACAAAAATGTTAGCAAAAACAATAATGCAATATTCACTCTGTCCCCCAGTGTGTGGAAAACTTCACACTGTCACAGGCATGTGTGTGTGTGTTTGTGTGTGTTGACAGTGGTGGTGGGGACAGGGTGGGTGTATGCTTACAGGACTTTGAGCTGATGGAGTCCAGACAGGGCTTCGGGGTGGATGAATGACAGGTCATTCCCCGCAAGTCGTCTGTGGTGAGAGAAAGAGCCAAACATTTATTTTTGAAATTTTTTATAAATGTTAAAAAGCTGCAGGAGCTATTTCTGCATATAAAGAACACACCATAACAATACCACTGAGTATATTTTATTTCTGAATAAAGCAATGCATGTCGAGAACGTCTTCACACCCAGCACCACAGTAGATTAGGTTCCAGCTCTGATACTGAACATGGGGCCTCGGGTGTCAAAGACATGAGTCTGTGCCATGGCCTGTTGTCACTTCGTCAGTCACCCACAAGAGATTAGAACTGTTCCTGGATATCCCCTCCTCAGATCCTTTTCTGAGCCCCCCAACCATCACTCCTCTTTGCTCCCTTTAGAAAGAGTGAAAAATTAATTCACCCCTCTGGGGTTGATACAAGCTATATTGCCTTGTAACATTTATCACTGGACATCTATTTTAGTCCCTACATTAATTACTTGAGGCTGAGGGGACACCTCCCTTTCCTGTTAGGAACAGGAAGTGTATAGGAAATAGGGGTGTAAATAAGCATGGGACAGGCGGACTGGGACACACAGCCCTAGTATACTATCTGGCCAGAGAGATTAGCAACACATTTATCACTCTGCAACGTGAGTCAGGCCAAGCTGAATTCCCTGCAACGAGAGCAGCTGGGTGTGAGCATGAGAATCAAGGCTGTGTTAGAAGACCACGTACCTTTCATGTAGACTCAAAACTGGTCTTTTGTTTGTATGCCATAAATTTCAAGGAATTTTCATCAGAACTTTGAGTTGACAGACATGGATAGCTGTGAGTTCCTGATGAGACTGATAGAGCTTAAGCTGAAGTGAATAACCTGTTCCATGAGTTACTGTATGCCAGTTGTAGGCAAACTAGGGGTGCAAAGATACCACATTTTTTCAGACCGAATACAGTATTTATATTTGGGTACTTGCAGATACTGTGTGCCGAAATGAGTCCTTAATAATACCATTACAGTTATTACAATGACTTTAAAAACATGTTTTATTTTCATCAGATGTTTCTCACTTTCTTTAACAAATGAAATGTTGCTAATGTAAAAATTGCTTAAAATATCTCCAAACTGCTGACATTGATTCTCTTCCGTCTACCTTCAAAACTAAGGAAAGGTTACGTAACATCATGCTGCTGTAAATTGGTATTGGGTGGGGTTTTATGATTCCATATGCTCAGTATCAGACCTGATACTAGTATCGGTATTAGTGAATCACTAAGGCAAACAGGAGTTATGAGGAGGCTTTAACCTTCCTCAAATTAATGCAAGAAAAAGCAAATGCTGTGATCCACGTTTTCTACATTTTTGTTTTACCATTTTCTGGTTTGACTGGTACTTTTTTAATTATCTAATTCTGTTGTGCCCTCTTCTTCTGCAATGGTTTAATGGCATAATGATGAGCCAAACAATGAATCAACTCAAGATATTCCTATAACAGAAGTGGTGACGCTACATTTAGATGGAAACCAGGTTACAGTCTCAACAAACTGCTAATAAATTTCTATGGTCTCCATCTACCACAGAAATGGAAGTGACAGAGTCAACTGTCAAGCAGCCAAGAAACCTGGTGTCACAGAAGATAGTTAGCCCAAATAGACTGCTTTAAATGCTTGAATTTGAATACAAATCTTTCTATGCTTCTAAATAATTGAAAGCTTCCAAGAGCTTGACAGGAGAACATGTAAGTAAAGATTACTGTGCTGTATTTCTATTCAAATTTGAACATAAATTTAGAAGATGCTGAATGTGAAATGTGAAAAAAATATGTCTTAATTACGGGCCTCTACCAACAGTAGACCAACTACTCCACATTAAATGAAAATGTCGGCCCAACACAGGCCATTTACTGTTTGATTGATTGTGGCTGACCAAAGCTGTCATATTTAAATGTGAATGCTCACCAGCTTTATAGAAAGGCTGTCAATTCAGGTTGACTTGGCTTTGAGACAAACCCAATGAACAACCTCCAAAGCTGAAGTCCACAATTCACAATACCACCACATCAACCAATCCATGTGAACATTCATATCTATACTGAGCCACAATTTGTCAAGAGGACGTTTTAATTCCAAGACATAATGTACAGTTATAGCCATGACTGCAGTACAAGTTGTCACACGCATATGTACGCCTACAAATTAAAAATGACACGAATCTTGTCTGTGGCTGTTGAGTCATTCTTTTTCTTTTTCAACAGATCGTGACCAATGTGGCTAATTCAATATGACTCCTTGAGAACTCGCACAACCCTGACCCTGCAGTCACTGACACAAGCCTTTAACCACCACATGCATGCGTGGTTTGACAAATCATTCAGATATCCTTCACATTTCACAACATAAAGAGCTTCTCCTCCTCTTGCATCTTTCAGCAAATTCACTACATGTCCCCCCAGGCTTCAACGAGGACAGAAGTATGTGCTAAATCTCGCTGAGGAAAGGCTAAATCCTCTTCTTGTGCAACACCACTCCCACAGGTCTACCTTTGTCAATAGCAAAATCACAAAGAGCACTGCAGTGCACTCTGATAGCAGTAAAGGTCTAGTTTACCTCTGGAAAAGAAAAAAAAAAAAAGCATTTGGGCCTCAATTTTGCTGTAACAACACAGGCAACCCCAAACAAGCTCCCCTCCCCCACGGCATGCTCTCACATGTACCATACACACCTTTTTGCACTGTTGGTATAGGTAGTTGTGATGATAAGGCTGTTACTTCATTTCCTATGTTCACGTTGGCAATGAAAATGCCGAGATAAAAAAATTCAACAATCATGTAACTATAATAGACTTGTGAAGTGGGAGGAGCTATTTCAGGCGCCTCTGGTTCAAGAAGTAAAAGTCGCATTTTCCCACATACAGCGTTGCATAGCTTACTGTTGGAGCTCTTTTAAAGCTTGGATCAGTATGAAACTTAACAATTAACTAATTAACTGTGTTGCAAAAATAATTCTTTGATAAACAGTAGACTTAAATATAACTACTGTTACAATTACTGTTATCAAATAAATTATATCTATATGGATTTCATGGAATGTCATTCTAAATAGCAAGAAATAGAATAATCTTTATTGTGTACATTTCCTACAAATGGAAATACCATGTGCTTCACAAAACATTGAAAATAGACAAGAAAATACTAAAACTTAAAAAATGATCTAAAAAAGATAAAAAATAACACTTAATAAATTACAATAAATGTTTTTAATCATTCGGTCAACAAAATACAACATATGGACAACAGAAGACTGACCCAGGTGTCATTACCATACTTCACTGTAGATATATAAAGAGCCTATCAATCACAGGTATTTTCACGAATAAAAACACACTGCAAAGAAGACAGAATACCTGTCATCACGTCTGCTGAGCTTTGTAGTGCCTTTGGCAAGAGAGAAAGAGAGTGGAGGTGATTGCGTGACTACGGAGGAGGTAATATTCCCCTCTCGTCTCCACTCCTGTCCTGTATGAGGATGGTCGGCTCTCTTTTCTCTCCCTGATCTTTTTCTCTCAACTCTTTCTTCCCCTGTCTTTGCCCTCAGGGCTCATGCTCTGGTTCACTGACACTGCTACAGCCCTAGAGCGAAAAAGTCATCCACCAAAGTTCACTGAGACAAGCTTGCAGATTTGTTCCCAGAAAAAAGGTTAAACAAACACACGTATGAACTATGGGTACATGTCAATCAAAATACCTTTCTTCAAAAACAAGAAACCAATCAAGTCCATCCGCTATGATAATCTAAGACAAGAAATAAGTAGAAGCAAGACTGGGTGGGTTTTTTAGCCTTGTTGCCATGGAAACCATTGTTTTGCCCTCTTCCTTCCTGCCTTGCATTCCTCCACACAATGCGATGAAAAGTAAATTGCCTTTCGACAAAGCAGACTGGAGTGGTGTATGGAAAAGAAGAGGGTGAAGACTTGGCCGGCTGAAAGATGCGCGAGAGCTGAAAAAACAGGCCTGTGACGGGCCAAGTGGAGCTGGAACCGCTGGAGCATGTTCACTCACTGGTCATTTTGTTTTCTCAGGGCTGCATGTTACCTGATATCAGGTAGACAGATTTTATCGCTGCCTCCCAACAGCACCGAGCCAGACAGCGGACTATTTAAAGAGCGAAAGAAATAACAAACACCCACTAAGATTAGATGTACGCCACTCAACAAAGCCCCAGAGCAAAGATGTGTTGTTGCCACCCTGATAATCCCTTAAAAGCAAAAATCCACACAGGATGTCACATGACTGTAGCTTCTATACATGTTGTCTCACCTCACCTTTTATAATTGAGCTTTACTGCACCTATTACAACTGCCCTTGCTCAACTCTTGAATGGTGAGTGATTCGTAACCTCACCTCACGTAATGCTGTGCTTATCTTCTTCAGCTGAGAAGAAGGGCATGTTGTGCACCTATACTGTGTGTTTTGCAGTACAAACTCAAATATCCAGGTGCATATCATAAAGCCCAGCCCTCATGTCAACATTGTACAGAGTAAATACATGAGATCCACGAGACTGTTAACTATTAACCTGTTAAGCACTCTTATTGCACAATACCTTAAAACATTAAACATGTACAGTTATACATGCAGTTTTACATCTGGATCATATTCTACTTCATTGTATATAGTGTATATATTTTTTATTATATATTCACTCTTTCTTTATATTATATTTTATTGTATTTTATATTTGTATCTGCTGTTGCACTACATTTCCCCTGTGCTGCTGTGCCAAATTTGAATTTTCCCTACAGGGGATCAATAAAGGAACATCTTATCTTATCTTATCTTATCTTACATCATTAACAAGGGAAAAAGGGGGTATGTACTCACAGTTCTTCCAGATAGGGGAAGTTCTTGAATACATATGCTGGAAGCTCAGTGATGTTGTTCATGCTCAGGTCACTGTGAAAACATAAAAAAACTGTTATTAACACAGTAAAATCATTCATTGAATTCATGAGGAGCTTTAAATCAGAGTTTGTTAACCTTGCGTTTAGTATTTCGATAAGCAGACTGGGTCACAGGAGACAGATTTAAGACTGCTATAATATCTGTATCTGATATTGGGTTCGTAGATTTTAATTAAAAAACATTTAAAAACGATTCCAACCGACATTTTATTGTTGCTTCCTTGCCCCGATTTTGTTCTTATTCTTTAATCACTTTGCTTGTCTTTGATTTAAATATTTTTAAATGCTTTATTTTGCCTTGTCTTTTGTTACTGTGAACTCTGATTTGGAAAATTAAGTTTTACTTATTTACATAAGATTTTCAGATTTTAAGAAGAGACTCAATTCACAAACAAATGTCTGAAAATGAAATCCTCTGTGTATGAGGCCTTATTTTATTAACTAAACAACAGAAAACATGCAATTAAGATATTAAAATGTTTCACTATAATTGTAAACTACAAACAATAGGGTAGTTGTGTCACACATCCCTTATGGCAGTTTAATGTCTTTTGACTGTGCCTGCATGAGTGCAACCTCAACAAAAAGAGCCTTGAAAAAGCCCTTCTCTTTAGCCCCAGGGATCTTCATTTTTTAAACCAACTTCAAGTAAAGATAGGCATGTAGCAGCATGAAAAATATGCACACAGGACTTGATTTGCTTCCCCACCTAAGTTAATATGAGTATATGTGTTTACATCTTCATAATGATGATTGAAAAGAAAAACACACTGAAAGGTATATGCCTGCTACTGAAAATGTGTTAACTCTAGGGTGCCAACATTGATTTTAATTGGCGGTGAAAAGTAGCGGTTTGTCAGAGTAAAAGAGGGGACAAAAGGCTGTCTTAGGTCTACTAAGGAGACGTATACAATGAGAGCAAACTCAGCTCTAGATGCCTCATCTTGATTAGGAATCCAGTAACCTGCTTCAAAGGAAAACCTCCCTCAACGCCATATGTAAAGAGACGGCACATAACAAGACTGAAAAAACATCCGGGATTCACAAATGAAGCAACCCCCTGCCCCCCTCCGTCCTCTTTCACTCTCCAACTGGCCATCTTGAATTTCACTGCCAGATCTCTCTAGGACCTTGTGTGTGGGCCCCTGAATCCTACAAGGATCATATTGCCCTTCCTCTGCAGTCCCAACTACACACATACACACACAAACACACAGACGCACAGAAGCCTTAAAAGGCGGGTCCTGACAGAACCCTCATCATCCCTGCGACCTATGTCCCATCTCCGCTTACCTGGTTATCCAATTACCATATAGACTGTGCAGCTACAACAACACTTCCATCAACATCCACCAGCTCCTTATCTTTTTTTCCGACCCTGACAACATCTCTGGTGGTGTTCTGCAACCACTGCTGCAGATTTGCCACCACCGGTGGTCAGATAGACACATCCCTAACCACATTTTAGACCATTTGACTGAATCTTCCGCAGACTGTTGACTGGCCTGAACCACATGCAGGGTTGGGAGTACAGGAGGCCTGCTTGACTCTATCACACTTCCTCCCTCCCTCTGTGTCTGGCTGCTTTACTCATCAAGGTCCTGGCCCGTCAGTGCTAAGATAGATTGAAGGGGACACTAAAAATGCAGCTGTGATAAATGGTGACAGGCCTAAACGCTTCTACAAACAGGTATCAGTAAATTTCTATCCCATGTGTCATTTGGCTTCATTTTAGCAGAGAGAAAGCAGATAATCTGAGAAAAGTTGCAGACGTTGCTTTGAGAAAAGGAAAATAATGGCTGCTATAAGTATGAACATATTCTAAAAGGTCAAATTATAATCCCATTAAAATACAATACGAATTTGTTAGTTCATATAGAATTACTACATGAAATGATTTTTTAAGCACTAACAAGCACACAAACATTAAAAGAATGAACAATGTATAGTGTGATGAACTGAAATGTTTGCTTTTAAATGCACATGCAAATTAGGTTTTCATTATAAAGCATACTCTTTTCGATCTATCACATTCTAAATAGTTCCCTGTTTCCTTTAATGTAAATGTAGGTTAGGTATAATTAAGGTGTAGTAGCTAAATCATCTTTATTCATGAAACAAATAATGAAACCTAATTAACTTAATTTAATTCAATTCATTCATTATAGTGTTTACCACTAGGTAGACAGTGTAAAGTCAGAGATTGCAATTGTATAAGAGACAGAATTTTACTAGTTCACTAATGGAGATATATGTTAGGGAACAATGTTTTAATCAACGATTCCTAGGGCCAATGATATCCGATGATTTTTAAACAGTGTGTAAAGATCATGGAGTGTAATTATGCTTTTTAATCACTTTGAGTTTATAGTGAATATGCTCAGAATGAATTATAAATCTTTTTTTAAGACTAAACTAAACATGCAGTAGTCATAAATGTACACAAGTAATGCATCTGAACTGTGTGTTTCTGTCTTGCTGTAACACATGTAGTCTCATATTTGACATCTCCAAAACTTCCTTGAACCTGACATAAAACTTTTCTGAGAAGGGATTTCTTTTATAACTGATCTGTGGACAATAAACTCCAAATTTTGGCTGGACACATTCTCAAGAAGCATGCACAACTCGATAGTCCTGACCTGTAACTCTTTCAGGTTATTGGACATTTTAATATAAAACATGACCATGTTACCTTCCCACAAAAGACAGTTCATATAACAACCGTCCAAAGACATTAAATACAGAAATGAAGCACAGATCTGCAGCCAGTTGCACCTGCTCTTTCTAAGTTATAATTTGCCCTGGTTATAGCATGTTTACCAAGTACAGATTTCTGAGTTACTAAATAACCATACGACCTAGGTCGTAAAAAGAGCTTAGCTTTTTCTAAACATTTACAACTAATTACTACTGGGTGTAACTGTTGCCCAGTCGCTTTAACCATCTGACTAAAAAGTGCTTGTCGGGAAACTGAGTACAACAATTTTTAAGAGCACAACCGCCTTCATAATTTGGGTAAAAAAAAGTTAGACTGACCAAACCAAACAGCAACAAAAGGAGTAGATTAAGGTTGAAGCCAAGATGCCAGAAACTGCAGTGACATAGCTAAAGAGTTCATTGGCTCCTATGGGAGGTTTCACCAGAGGGACAACAATCAGTGCAGCACTTGCAGACACAGACAGACACATGCTTTGAACAAAGATCCTGTGGTCTGATAAAAGTAAAACATTTCAGCCAAAATACAACATATAATGCCTATCATGTTTCATTTTAGATCTGTGCTTCATTTAGATCAATTGGTAGAGATTTGTTTTTACTTTGACATTAAAGAAACATTTTCTGCCGACCTGTGTAAAAATGTCTGGTACATCCATTATTATGCGATTCAATGCTGTACAACAATAAGAAAGCGTTGAATGGGTGTTATAAAAACAAAAACAGTAATTGAGGGAACTGTAGTTTTTGTTTACATTTCTGAATATTCTGCTGACTAGTTTACCAGTTGTTCCTGTGTTTTGTATTCCTCCAAACAAAATCTCAGCACATGCTGTCATCGTCTGTGGAAGTGACAGACCTGTGGCGTTTTACCATACACATGTCCTAGCTGGTTTTTTGTTTTGTTTTTTGTTTTGTTTTTTAAAAAAGATCCTAACTAAGTTCCACTCCAGTGATGCACATTTTACTTCCTATAAATTCTTCGCAATAAAAGTCGCCGGTTATTTTGTTATTTAACCGCTTTTATTATGAAGCAGCAAAACCAGGAAGTGTTCAGTTTTCATCAGCAGTACTTTAACACAATTCCTATACAGCTGAAAGCCGACATGAAACGGTAAAATAAAGCAGATTCCTGAGAGTACAAACAATGACGCAGGAGAGAAACTAAACTTCAAATCAGAGATTCAGTTAGAATTTACAAAAGTACTGAGAGCTGAACACTGAGACTTTTAAAATGTCTGTCTGTCTGGTTGAGTCACACATGTATTTTGAGGGGGAGAAGGGGGATCGTCATGGGTTGGCAAGACTTCACTGCAGTCTGTTTGGCGGGTCTGGCGGGCTTCGGCCCTACTCTGGGGAGGTCCATCTCGGGTACAGCTCGGCATAACTCGGTGCGGCCAAAAGTGCTAAGGGAAAAGCCCTACTGTATCGTACCCCTGCTTATCTTTAGTGTGTTCAGAGGTGTGTACAACACCTTTAATTTACATGAGGAAAAATATGTAAAGCCATGGCATGCCATACAGCAACAGCTTTCATAAACCTTCCACACTGATGACCGTTAAACTGCTGACCAGAAAAAGATGTACGTGTCGTATTATATGATTTGAATGGACCCCTGGAAGCCAATCAGAAATATTCTGGCTACAGGAAAAAATATAGATATAGAGACCTGGAAAGGCCTAGAGATCTGGCAAAAGTTCTCATTCATGTTTCTGTCACAGTTTGTTGGGGCAGTCAGACTATTATTCTTTTTTTTATGTGATAATTTGCTGCTGTCCTCTGTTTTATATCACTGCAAATTTTGGTTTTGGACAGCTGGTCAAACAAAACATCTGAAGATGCCACTTCACACTCTGGTAAACAGGAGGGGACTTTTTTTTTTTTTTTTTACCATTTTTTAATGCTGTAAAGATTAAATGATTAATCTGGAAAATGGACAGATTAACCTCAAATTTTCGTCTCACAGGTTGGCTACACTGAACACAATTACCAATGAAACCAACCAAGATCCACTCTGTGACTGTAAAAATAGGACAGTCTTCTATGTATGTTACTTTAGGTGTGGGGTGCGCAGACCTTTTACCCAGAAATGGGTCATAAAGTGTCAAAGTATATTTTCTAACAAGGGAGACTGAAACAGCAGACTAAATAAAAGGGAAATGATAGGTTGCTTTTAACTTCATCCCTTACAGCCTACAGGAGTCTGTAGATATTAATTTACCCATATTACACAAAAAGTTGAAAAGTTGAAGTTGCACATCGCTGTGCTGGGTC